GTCCTAACAATAGACCTAAAGAGAATCTCAACATACCAGTACTTTAAATTCTGTGTGCCTAGTTGGAGTATCAATCTCTGTGTTGGGTTCCAAAGTTCCCATAAATCTTATGACAAAAACACTATGTCCAGTAGGAGGTATTAAGCAAAGAACGACCTAAGGAAAACACATTCAAGCTGAAGCTGCCCAGAGCCAGGATAACATGGAAACAAGTAGAAGAAAATCAAGGTCCTTTTACACATCCTCCCAGAATACCAAGGAGAAGCTTTTCTTTAGTTCCAGACTCACAGTTCTTGGCAGCCCAGCAGTCTCTTCAACACAGACACCTGTCCAAGCAGGACTTGCTCCTTTAAAACTTAATGAGACAGCACCAGTTTATTCCTTCTGTTACAGTAACCCAGAATAGCAGCTTCCAAACCTGCTTGGAGCAAGGCTTGCTTACATCATGCCCATGCAATTGTGGACACCCAACAAATACACAGCAACTTGGGACCCACAGCCCTCTGCTCTAGAACTGTTCCTTAAGGGCTGCACATTCAGAGCCCACAAACTCAACTCTCCCTTGTGGCTGGCATACACAGAGTTGCTAGGAAAAAAATCCCCTCACATGGCTGCTACAAGGATGATGATAACCCATACTTTTTGAAGATACGCTACAAAGCCTTTGAGATTCAGCAGAAAGCAGACCTAGCAGTCACATTTCTGTAAACTAAACAAGAACCACCAAAATCCCCGAACTTCATTTGCTGAGGAGTGTTTGCTGTATCAGGCCCTTAAGAGCACTTAAATGGAGGTACACACAGTTTTTGGTGATAGAATTAGGCCTACAAAGAAACTCCTCCTATATATGTTTAAGACACGACCAACTTACTTTCATCATTTTCTCCAGCTTCAGATGTCACAGTGATCGTGAAAGTTGTTGGCTTTTCTGACAATACTGTTCAAAGGAAAAAAAAAAAGTCAGTGAGAGAATCCTTACATCAGACAACCACTTCTTCACATCACTAAAACTTGTCAAAGACTAATGAAGAAAGGAAGCTCTTGATACAGTGTTAAGGGCCTTTTTACCTTATTAATAAATACTTTTCCCTTAACAGCTACTTTCCATATGATGTGATGCCTGGAGTACTCTTTGAATGAGCGCATATAACACCAAAAATATCAAGATATTTCTCCTTTGGAAAACTTTCTCTTCTGGCAGTTTCACTTTTCCAGAAAGTACAAATCTACCTACCACCAAATGACTTCCGTTAGTGCCTGGAATGTGTTCAGAAAGCTCCCAAAGCTAATTTGCTTTACTGTGCCACATATATGTGATGAGCACCCAGTGTACTCTTGACCCTGGACTATTTTTACAGTATGTCTGCACCTATATTTAGGATAGCTTAATGTAAGAAATGCTTCTTAAAACAAAAAGAGAAGGGTTTTCCTTCAAGACTGTACTACCCCAGTAATGTACTAGAATGTGTAAATTAGGCAGCTAGAAGACAGACAAAAAGCGGCTCCTGTGGAGACGCACAGAATGCAAGTGCTATGATCTGTGTGAGGCTGAAAACCTCATTGCACAATTGTGGGGATCCTCACAATTGTGAGGATCATATCCTCACATAAGGATTGCTCTGTATCACTGTTACAACCTATGCCCAAACTAGTATACATTCTCTCAAAGTATTATGTGAATTTTGCCTAATTGCTAATGTACTACTACTATCTTTATTTCCTCTTCTTCTCTTGGGCATAAAAGCATTACATGAATGAACAATAACTGTGGAGTAAGCATAGATCAATTTATATATCTTTAACTAATCTTTAACATAAAACTGAAGAACCAAAAAGATTTTCAGATTGAAGCAATGGACAAACAGCTGTGTGATGAAGTTGCTTTCAAATAAGACACTGTGGGACTTCGGGCAGAGTAGATACTGTGCAGGAAGGGAACTGAAAATGCCCTGTTAAATGTCCACTGTTAAAATTCTTTGGATACTGAGCAACATAAACCATGTTGGAATAGCTAACATGGTAGATACTCTTAATTGTTTGATGGTAACTTGGAAGTCCTGGAAAACTGATGAACCAACGTATCCATCCTACTAAAGTTTCAGTAATACAACATACTCCACCAAGGAACTAAAGCTTTCCTTTTTTCCACCACAAGACAGCAACAGAATAAGGCAGGTACTGGCTGAGGACATTTACGGAGAAAACAGCATCTTTACGTACCCCAAAACACCCCGTGCTACACGGTCGTGACAAGCTATCACCGAAAAGGAAAACCAGTCGGCACATAAGCCAATTCCCCAACTGCCATCTAGGGCCGCATCTTTTGAAAGGTTTCTCCAAAGGGCATCCTTCCGCCCGCCACAGCCCGGGCTGGGATAGAGGAGCGGGTACCCACGCTGGGCAGCTGTGCCACGGCGCCAAACGCGGCAGAGGCAGCGCCGCGCACCGCACCGGCACCTACCTGGCGACGGGAGCCATCGAGTGCTTTGCTTTTCCTCCCCAGGGAAAGCAAACTAAAAGCCCGAAAAAGCCACCCAGGCTGGGGGGCTCGGGAGCCCCGGGGCAGCCTCGGCGCGGCCTCCCGCCCGTCCCGCCGGCACGGCGCGGCCCCGCCGCGGCTCACCCGTGAACGAGTCCGGGTAGATGGACTCCAGAGCCTCCAGCTCGTTGCGCTGCTCCTCGCTGTAGTCCGTCATCGTCGCCCGCCGCCGCCGCCCACGGCCATGGGCCGCCGGCCCCGCAGCGACCCCGACCCGCAGCCGCTCCCCGCCCGCCCGCGCCTGCGTCCTCCCCGCCTGCTGCCTTCCCTTCCTAGCATGCCTAGCGCTCGCGCTCGGCGCTGGATGCCTTTGGGCTGCAGGGGAGGGAGGAAGGGAGGAGGGGCGGCGAGTGCTGCTGCCATCGCTGGGCCGGGCGAAAGGCGGCGGTGAAGGCGCGGGGAGCCGGCCTGGATCCTCTTCATCATCAGGGGAGGCATAAGGTGCGGTGCCCTCTGCTCAGCAAATTCCAGCAGTTGCTGCTTGGCGTTCAGCTCCGGGCTGAGCGGGCTGGGCGTGTTTGCCCGCCTGTACCTGACGGGCAGGAGGAATCCTTCCACCATGCTCCGCTCCACACGTGCGCTGCTTCCCCGCAGCTTCAGGGTCGCTATAAAGAGCACATTGGTGTTAGGCGGGTATTCACTCTTGGACGTTCTTCCATTGAAAACTTACAGGGATCAGCAAACTGAAGAGGATTCAAAACCGATGCTCTAGGTATCACAGAAGGGTACCGTGAAGGCAGCTGAATGCCATTTCTGCCAGAAAGTGGAAGGTGCTGGTGGAGGACTCTCTCCATTGGGAGGTATCACACACTGGAGCAGGGGAAGAATGTGAGAAGCCCTCACCTGAGGAGGAAGGAACAGCAGAGACATGTGATGAACTGCCCGCAGCCCTCCTTTACCCTACCCCTGTACTGCTGGGAGGAGGAGGAGGTAGAAAATTTGTGAGTGAAGGTGAGCCCAGGAAGAAGGAAGGCAGGGGGCAAATATACTGTAATTTTTTTTTCACATTGTCTTACTCTGAGTTGATTGGTAATAAAATAATTTCTCCAAGTGGAATGTATTTTGCCTGTGACAGTAAACGGTGAGTGATCTCTCCCTGTCCTTATCACGAACCATGAGAATTTCTTTATATTTTCTCTCCCCTATCCAGCTGAGGAGGGGAGTGACAGAGTAGCTTTGGTGGGCACCTGTTGTCCAGTCAGGGTCAACCCACTACCTATGCAAAAGCTTAGGGTTCAAACGAATGATGTAAAGTGATGTAAAATATGCCTAGTTTCCAGTTATTCAACAAATACATTGTTTGCATTTGCTAAAATGCCTTTTTTTAGAAGTTTAAATCTTCAAGACCATACATATTTACCAAGATCTGCAATTTAACTTACTTCTGGCTCTTACATTTTCTAGTAAAACATAACAAATAATTATATTTCTCCTCCTCAACCACCAGGGGTCATTTATTAATAACAGATAGCATCCCATAGTTTAGCATATAGCTTTGGAGCATACAGCATATGTATATGTACTTTACAAGGCAATACAGGAAGCATTAAGAAAAATTATGGTATGCATTTCCCCCCAACCCCTTTTAGAGTTAGAAACATTTGCACAAGGAGTTAGAGAGGAGATGAGTAACATCACATCATACCACACTGAATTAACACAAAAACATCACTAATCCTTCTTTCACTAAATTCAGTAATTTTTAATCACAATGACATTCATGGGCCCAGTGGTATGTCTAAATTACAAGATCTTTGCAGGCAAAGCAAACCTTACTGCACAAAGGGAGATTTTTTTTTTCTATCCTGATTTGCTATTTGTACAGTGGGCAAGCACATAAACACCTTAGAGATTTTGAAGTGTTTCTAAAAATGAGACTGATCTTGCTACTGCTTTCAGTCAGAACACCTTTCAACTGAATTTACCAAATGTCAAGTGTTTGCTTGCTCCATGTTAGACACCTCCATCCTCTGCCTCAGTGGGAATTCTCTCTCCTTACCAGAATTGAAAGTGCTCTCATCGTTGCATCTAGACTCAGCCTTTGACAATAAGATTTCCCCTATGTTTCTTCTGTGCTCCTGTAGCCACAGACTTAGCTTGTAGTTAGTTAGCTCAGTGTAGTTTATTCATACAATACAAAAAAAAGTGGAAGAGGAAATTACATAAGTAATTTCTGCTAGGGCTCACTAAGAAAAAAGCTGAATCGCTGCTTTTGCTCTATACAGAATGCACTAACTCAGAGGATCCAGTCAAAGCTATTAGAAATCTTTTTAATGGGAAGAAAAAAAATTTTAAAAAAGCATCTGCAAATAACTTTCCCAGTACATATTTATCCTTTTAGCATAACTATTAGAAAGCAGAGAGCTGCAGCTTGAAACAGCCCACCCTAATCTAGACATAGATCACATCCCATAGGAGTCAGATGCCATCAATAAAGGCATCTGTGTGTGCTAAAGGACTACATTAACAAGATGTACTTGCTCACATACTTTATATATCAATGTAATAATGCATTGGAAAGTTCCAGAGCAGCTCAGGTCTGATACAGAGCTAGACAGGGTCCTGCATTTCTACAAGGTGGTGTGGTGGCTTGGATCCTCAGAGCTGTGTTTTGATCAAAGGGTCTTCATCAGTCTTCAAGTATTTTCCATTTGCACGTTCTTTGAGTGCCCAGTCATGGAGGAGACTATAATCATAGTGCTCCTCATCCACTTGTTTTAGAAAGGCCAGTCCAGAAATGGCTTGCCACTCTCTGAGAGATGGGATGCGAATTTCCTTTACATTTTCACTTCCTGGGACAAAGCCAAAAAACTTCCTTACGTGCTGCATGGCGTAGAGCCTGGAGTGCTGCTCCGTTGCCTCATCAAAGAGCTCCTGCTCATTGTGGACATAGCTGCTCCAGTATCTGAGATGTAGAAAGCTGAGCGGGGAGAAACAGCTTGCCAGGCAGTAAGACAGGAAGACAGTGATGACTACCACAGCTATCAGAAGCCAGCCAGCCACCTTACAGAGAAAAAGTAAAGAACTGTTACAGCTGAAAATACAGTGGTAACTTCTGAGCACCAGAAAATCCACGTGATCTTTACTTGTTTTTCCTAAATAATAATGTTAACAAGGTATAAGCCTGGAAAAAGTCTGTTGCCACCAAACACAGTCTATGCCTACTGGAGGCAGCTGTATAGTAAAGTCACTTGTTCTTGTGAAGTTTAAGAAAGTTCTGTTATATAACTTTAAGTATATTGCTCTAACAGCTGTTGTTGTTAGAAGAGAAGCCACATAACTTCTAGACTGTATTACCTTATGGCCTGTTTAAAACCAGTTTTCTTTGAAGTGTCAACTTTATGTTCGCCCCATTATTTACCCAGTATGTAAACTTTTAGAATCGACTCTGATCTTGGTTCCCATGAAACTCCCATAGCCTGAGCCCCTTAACCACACATTTCTTATGCTTTAATGAAGAAACTTCATACCCTCCCTGGCTCTTTGACTTTCATTTGTTTTACTTGATAGTACTTTTCAGGATACTACACAAGGCAGAATATATCCTCTCATAGCAGGTAACAAGTGGGACAACGAGACATAGTTATTTTTTTATACCTAAAATTCAGTTCCACTTAGAAGAAAAAAAAGCAGGCTTCAAAACACACAGAGATTTCGCACTCAGGACACAAGGCACTGATCTTGTTCTATCCTAACACTTTGCCTGCTGAATTAACTCTACCTCTTCATCATTAAGTTCAGAGGCAACAGAAACAACATGAGTTACTCACTTGTGACTGGTATCGAAGTAGGAGAATCACTTCATCTCTTGCCCGGGTCATCTCTGGTGGAACTAACTGACTGCATGGAAATGTAGCCAGTATCCTTCTGTGTTCACTAGCAGTAACATTAGGATTAGCTCCATAATAATACGTGGGGACATACTCACTCACAGCGCAGACATAATATGAACCATTTATCAGAGTGACTGCTAGCCATGTTACTGGAGCAACCAGTGCTCTCCCAGTGATGCTACACAGGACAAAGCAGATCAATTTGCATTTCAGGAACCGGTTTGATATAGTCACCTTCTCAAAATGAGATCTTTTGCCTGTAACCAACCTCCAAGTCTGGTTATTCAGGGCATAGCCAACAATCAGAAGGATCAGTGCAGGAACTCCTAGGAAAGCCAGCCCATAAATAAGGTTCTGTCCAACGTGACAGGGACAGCTGAATGTGAAAAAAGAGAAAAGCTGCTGCCCACCAATTGTCAGTATTGCAATTATAGCATTAGCAATAACAACTTCTTTGCCTTTCAGAAAAGTTAACCACTTTGGAAGGAAAGTCATTTTCGTTCTTACTCTTTACCAGATTATTTTGCTTTAAGTCAACACCAGCTTTTAGCTATATTTAACTAATGTTAATGGCAGAACAGAACAAACTCCAACAGCTTAAGAAAAACACCACCAAACACAACACCAAAGAAACCTCCTGCTAGTCTTTCTCCTCCCACTAATTCTCAGTAGCTTGTTTGCTAGCTTTAAATATGCTTGCAGACATCCACTGTTGTGATTTAATTGATTCAGTAATTTATCTCAGCAGTTCTGGAACACTGAGCTTTTAGGCAGTTCTGAGCTCTGCCAGCCCCTTGCTAATTGAAACTAACAATGAATTCCCCCTACCTTTTGGATGACGTGCAGTGCTATCAAATTGATGACTAACTTGCCAGGATTAATTGCCAAGCTGTTTGCTAATCAACAGTAATTAGCAGGAACATGGCATGAGACTAGGACACAAAAGAAAAAGGAAAAAAGGAGATCTTTCAGCTGTTCTCCCTAAAAGAACAAAGAAAGACTTGGCAACTAGACTGATTATAAAACAAATGAAGTATTTAAAATTTAAAATGCTTCCACTTTAAAATAAACCCATAAAATATTCCATAAGTGGCACAACATTTGGAATCCCTGTGCTGTTTGTATTTAATGTCAGTTCTGGGGCAATTTGCTCTTCTAACTGGAGTCCTCTGCTGAACTACGAGGATTTTAGTGTTTCACCTGTAGGTGGCAAGAAGCGGGCATATGTCTTTTCCTGATAGTGTTGGTTTCCTTTGGAAAGGTGGGTTTTTTGGTAATGTATAATCTGCTATTCACTTCACACAGTGTCAAACCAGCTGGCATTTATATAGTATACTTGTGATTACAAGTTTTAAGATTTTTTTTAAGTATGGTCAGTCCCATTCTGTGGGCTGAGAGAGATAGAAATTTTTCAATTAAGCATTTCCAGAACTGGTTTCTGGATATTCAGATATATAGTCTGGGCTCTGGACATTGGTTACAAATCAAGCCTTAAGTAGAGGCCTGAAAAATTTAGAACATTTTACTCCATATGATTTCCTCTGGATTGCACTTTTTCTATGGTCATGCTATCCAGTAGTTCTATACGTGGCATAACCTAGGCTGATCTGACTATGCAAATACTTCTGTTTAAGTACTGAGAAGTCAACTGTCTGTAATATAAACATTTTTACCAAGAACAGAAAACAAAATTTAGCCAGAAAGTCTATGGGGAAAATTGTCTTCCCATTACAGATCTCTGTCTCCAGCATGTGCAGACTTGATTGTATGATATAATACTGTCTGCACAGCCTCTTCCCTCCCCTTACATAGAGGGTTACTAATAATAAGTTTTATCTCAAACAGTAGTTTTAGCACCCATGGTATCTGCTTGGATGGCAGAGACACTCTCTCAGCTGTTATACATATGGATGTCATGTTATACGTGCCTTGCTGGTTCTCTAGGCAAGACCTTGTTCCTCCAGTTCTCTGCTAGGGCAGACACCTGCTTGTGTCATCCCCACTCACCATCTGTGAAAGAGGTCTTTGCCAGTAACTGGTTCTCAAACAATGTGACACCATTGCACAAAATTAAAAGCAATAGAGAAACATGCTGAAACATCCAGCAGCACTTTGCCACAGCTTTTCTGGAGCTTGTTGTTAAGTGTTTAGGTGTTTGGACAGCGCAGTAGCACAACAAAATCCCCGTGCTGTGTAATCATTGCCATTTTGAACCTTAATTTTCTTTCAGTATGACAGGATTTTCAACTATTTTTTTTGTACTAGTGGCATTGTATTTTGAAAAAAAAATCAGTGAAATAAACCCATTAGGCTATTACAGAATTATTTTGAAGATATGTTTAACGAGTCTTCCGTTATGCCTCAGTTTGTTTTAAAATCTCTGATTGACTGCTTCAGAGTTTTCTTTGGGAACCCTTGTCTTATTTTGTTTGTAAGGAAGGAAGGCTTTCCCAAGCATCACTTGTTTACTCCAGAAACACATTAGATGTGAAACTGAAGTGGTGTACAATACTGAAATATTCATAGTCAGCCTAAGGCTGTTGAATGAGGTAATTTAAACAATCAATACTACAACTTTGCACTTCTGCATTTTCACTTTGGCACTTGCTTTCGTGCTCTGCTGTAAGCGATCCTGCTGGGTCATCCCATTATGGAAGAAATTATAGGGTTGAATCCAATTAAGAGCTTGGGCGGCACATCAGACTTTTAAGTACTTGCGTTTGCAGAGGAACCCAGAGTCCTGGGGTAGACATTTAGGCTCTTTATTTGATTCCCGGGAAGAGTTAGGACTGAATGCAATCTGAAACAGCACTACCTGAGGTGCCAGCCAGCTGGCCTCTGAGGCAAAGAGATGCTTACATCTGACATCTGAGACAAATAGGATGCATGAGTAAACCTTAGCCATGGTTTTGCTTGTTGTATTGCAGGGCTCTGTCAGCTTGAACTCACTGCCAGTAATCTCACTTATGAGAAAAATAGATTTTTTTTAAGAACTGAGAATGATTTGTCTTTTTTGTTTTAAACATGGTTATTGGAAGACATATTATGCCTTCCTATCCTCCCATACACAGCAAACAAGTTTTATTCTCTTGTTTTCTTTTTATTGAAATAAAGCAACCATGGCAGAAGGTAGAGATTGATTTCAGCCCCCTTCTCCACCTGATCTACTAAAAACTCACTCATCTCTTTCTTCCAAAATCTCAGTTATTATTAGTAATGTGATGTGACTGTGGTGCAAAGAAGCTGTGTTTACCAGCTTTCCCGTTCTACCAGTTGCACTTAGTTTCCCCACAGAGAGGATTTTGATACTTATTGGATCAGAAAAAGATTAGGATTTTGTTATCTACTGGCCAGGAAAACGTAGGGAGAAAGTGAAGTGTTCTTCTATTTTCCATCTGAAGGTTGCTTCCTGTGAAGTTTGGAGGAGGAGGAGGAGACTGAACCCTGGTCTCTCTGGTCCTGTTCATGTGTTTTCATTGCTAAATTAGCAGCCTAAAGGCTGATGTTCTGTGGCCCCTCTAGGTGCATTTTGAGTTCTCTTTTGCATGAATGTCAAGCCTGCCTGTGCATGTTAGAAAGCATGCTGTGAAAGTGCCTGCCTGACAGATTTCATTTGGGAGCTGAGGGGAGCACTGTCCATGTCCTATGTTCTGCAAATTCACAGGTGGGATTCAGGCTGCCAAGTCATTTTCATGGTCTCTTCGGCTTAGTTGAGGAAGAAGGTCCTCTCCCTTTAATTAGGACAAGCTCTGATGAGAAAAATAATAAGCTTTAAGGGAAAAATAGAAACAAGTTAATGTTTTTTTTTTTAGCTTACATATTTTGCTTCAGAATTTACCTGTGCTTTATAGGCAAATTTATATGACATTTCTGGTGCCTGCAGAGAGTTTCAGCAGAAAGTAGGCACTAAAATCCCAAAACACCCTCTTGAAAACAGTTCCTGAGAGGCATAACCTATAACCAAAGAAGTTTCAGCAGGTCATGCTGAAAATGCTTCTGCAGGCAAGGAGGCAGCAACAGCATTGCTTTGTTCAGAAACATTGACAAAGCAGCAGCCAAACTGGGATTTGAGTATAAGAACTCGTGTGGGAATTTACATGTGTGCACGTATGTATTTTCAAAGAATAATGACGTGTCCTTATGATACATTGCACTGTCTGGTCCACAGTGTTCCTTCATTATTATAGTATTAATAATGCAGGCTGAAGTAATTCATCCACATATTCAGAACCATATAAATAAAATGGTGGTCATTTATGGGTAGCCTTAAGTGCTTTTCAATGGCCTCACTGAAGTTAAATGATGACAATGATAATCTTTTACAGTTGTTTTTTTAAAATGCAGTGCAGTACACTTTTTTGTGGAATATGGGATGACTTGCAATGTGAGACGTATTTGATGCTTTTTGCCAGCTGGGGACAATCGGAGAAACCAGCCCATCTCAGACTCAATTTAGAAATGCAAGTAACTATCTAGATAATTGCAGTGTCTGGCTTTTAAAATTTATTTAAATTTAGACGTGGGAAGTACCTACAATAGTTTCACCTATAAAATGGAGTAGGATTTTACAGGGCCAGAAAAGCACCTGCAAAAAAAAAAAAATCACATCTGAATGCTTTCCGTGTATCTGGAGTAGTAAATATATGTATTTTTACTCTAACATTGAATCTATTAATTAATATAAATTTAGTAACAGCATGACATTCAGACGAGGCCATATATTATTCCTTCCCTTCCTGAGAGGGCTCAGTGGGACTACATGTGCAAGTAAGTCCTATAAGGAATGACAGCTATCTGATTAATTTCTAAATTCACCTGTGACAATAGTTGAAATTTATTGCAAATCTAAGCTAACCATATAGGCCAAATTTACTACAGAGGAAAACAGGCAAAATAAGCCTGGATGTTCATAGCAAGGATATTTACAAATAGGGGCTATAACAGGCTAAGAATGATAGAACACCCCAAGGAACATTGTTAATGAAAGTGCCATTTGCACAAGCTGTTAGTTGTACCAGGTACACAGTTCATTACTCTGGGAAGCTGGAAGTTCTCTATATCTGTCCTGCCAGCTTTGCAGAATCATGGTGGTAGCAGTGCCTTATAACACACACTGCCCCTGCTTAGGCAGACATCAACTCACCAGACTAAAGCAGTCAGAGCTGACATGAGACTATAGCTCCTTTAAGTTAAAAATTGTCAATTTTTAATTAGCTTCTGCAGCAGTGTCTTGCAATTGTGTGTTTATTCTTCAGAAAGGAAGCTTTCATTAGCTCTTCAAACACCAAAGTCTGATAGAAACAACAGAATTAATTTATTGTCTCTAAAAAGCTGTGAATGTCTTGGGGCTGCCTGATTTGACTTCTCATGGATGTTTACTGTGTATCATTCTCATGGATGAAGTGTTTATTTATATTGTGGACAGAGGCAGATCTGTTGCTGGTCAAATTCCTCCCAAAGGGCTCAGTACACACAGAGGATAGGAGGAGCATCAATAGCATTACAGACTGCAGCAAACACATCTCATGCAAGAGGCAGAAGAGCAGAGAGGAGAAAACTTTAGAGAAGAGAAAGAGGAAATACAGTGATTGAGAGAAAACTATGCTGCTTGAGGAAGAACAGACATAAACTGACAATCGAATACATCAGGAATTACATAAGCAACATGTCTCGGTCACCAGGAAGAAAGCCGGAGAACCACAAAATAGTAAGACATTTTTGTAATGTGTGATTAAAATTGTGCATGGAGTAAGAATAAGCTATTACTGTATTGATGTATATTATGCAGTCATATTTCTGAACAGTCTGAAAGTAGTGAAAGGATGGGGATGAGTCTGTCAGTACAAGAGCAGAGGGGCTGGCAGCATTCATGGCTACTATCCCTACTGCTGAGATTCTGAACAGGCTTAAGAAAGAGGGGCACAAATTTTCTGAGTTTGTGATCTGTTCAGAAACAGAGGTTTAAGTGCTTTGGGCGATTTATGGTCAAAGATAGGAATGCCAGGTTTATTTGCCTCCTTGGTTAGACAGTTCTAAATGAAACACAGAGAGAAGATCTCTGTTAGTGCTTGAGTGGTTCAAATCCACACAAATCTTTTTTCAGAAACTTAGAGCCTTAGGGCTCTCTGTATGGTGAATGGCGATTTCTGACAGGAGTTCAGGCAGTGAAGAAGGTCCAGAAGGCTTTACAGCAATGTTGTGGTAATTTCTGAAAAGGGGACAGAGATCTCCACTGACAAAGAAACAGAAGAATATAAGATAATTTATGTTCATGTACGTAAGTTTATGGGCAAAAAGTATTCCAATGGATTGCAAGAGTGGATGATAAATACAATTATGTTGATATAATATGCTTGGGTTTCTCTAAAGTATTGTTCTTATTACAACACAGACTTTTTGCTGAACAATAATAATACAACAATACAGAACTCGTATGACATCCATTTAATCCATTAAAAACTCGTTAATGAGAATTTGGCCAAGTGTCCAATGTTATTGTAAACAGAAGTTATCACTAAGGTGAATTTAGGAAATGGCTGCATATTAAACTCCAAGCTTTTGATGCAAGGAGAGCAGGAATAGGTCTTTCCACCAAGCTGTTCTTCCTTTCTTCATGTGATTTGTTCTGTTGTTTTCATTGTTATTCACTAATTTCTCCACAGGCTATAAACGAAAAGTCCCTCTAGTCTAATCATATGCCACAGGGCTAGGGTACTTCCTTTAATTAATTCCTCCACAGCTGAAGATCCCAGTCTAGCACTTTAGACAGAATCTCTGCAAAGTTAGGCCTTTGGCATGTTCAGTTGCTCTCCATGCTCCTTGGGCAAGCAGCTGTAATCCTCACCCGTCCCCTTCATCTTGTCATTATTTGTTACAATGGTGTTGAATTATAGTATTTTTCCACTATTTTGCATTAAATTTTTTATCTGCTTTTTAGTTTCTTTATTTTTGGAGAAATCAGCTGATGAATTGAATCAGATCAACCTTACCTTTGTAAACTATTGTACCTATTGCAAAAGAATTAATAGCTCTTTGCCTCTATTATTCTTCCTGCAACTAAATGTTTGTCATTATTCTTCGATGGCATTTGACAGCATTTATCAATCCAGCATACATACATGAAGTTATAGGATGCAAAAATGCACTTGATGAAAGTAACTGCAAGCATCCCAAGAAATGGTATTTCTGACAAGCAAAATCCTTGTACAAACTCAAGTGACAATCAGTTCAGGCTCTGTCACACATGAATTGTGGATTTCAGCGATTATGCATCCATAGACAATAGTTTCTTTATTAATGCAAATGTTATTCTTCCTTGTTGTTCATCCAGTAGCAGTTAAAAATTTGGAAAAGTTTAATTCTAGTTTGCTTCACTTTTGATTTCCTGGCAGAGCAGAGAACTTTTTGTACTCACATATGGGGCTTTGGTAGCCCAGCTGTGCAAGGACTATGAAAATGATGAAGACGTCAACACCTGTTTAGATAGAATGTAAGTACTGCTTGAAATGTTCAGCTTTATCCATAATGCTGTTTGTCCAGCTATATGTTACCTCTCAGCTTTCTGTTTGTTATCTTATGAGTTCCTGCAGTCTGTCTAGGATTACAGAGATGACAGGGATGACAGTCTGATATTCTGTCAACAGAAATAATGGTAATTTGTGAATTAAGATCGACAATTAGCTTTTGAATTCACTGAAGAATGGTGTCAGGATCGTTTTCATAGCTTACACTTGTTCCTTGTTGATCTTTTTGTTATGCTAATTAACAATATAAACTTCTAAATTTAATCTCCTATATCCATGCATTTCATTTCAGCTTCCCCCCTCATTGGGTTAAGAGCAGATGGGCCTCTCACCTTTAAGAGACCATATAGCAATGGTCTCTTAATAGTGAGATAGCACAAAAAGTCAATGAGAATGGATCTTTAAGTGGATAATCTCTTTGGAAAATGAAGATCCTGTGATTACAAGATCCTGTCATTCTGACTGAGATTCCTGGGCATTACTGCCATAAAAATAAAGATATCATGGAAAATCAGCAAGAAACAGTTTTTGAGCTAGTTAACAAGATATACTAAGATCTTTGGCAGAACAGTAAGGCTTATGTTTTCAGCCAAAATGGACATGCAAAATGGATTTACAGCAATCACAGTGGACAGAATAACTGACCGCTTTACAATTAACCTGAAAGTTTGCAAATGAGCTATAGTCCAATAACTATCCACAAGAGTGAGTTAAAAAAATCATTGTTTGGCAAAAAGAAAAGTAATTTATTCACAAACTTAGGAGGGACAACATCCCTCAGATATTTATTTTATAGTCATCTCTCATTCAGCTGTGACGAAAATCATACATTTAAAGAGTGCACAGACTTCTGGAAGAATCTGTGGAGGCAGATTTTGCTGCCTATGTTTTCATTATTATAGCTGATTCTATAAAATCTTTTTGGTTTGAGGAGGACTTGATGATATAATTACAGGTTTCATTAAAACAGTACGTCTGTTCTTTTCTACTGTGATTATGAAAACAGCCTAGTTTCAGGAAGAAACCTTGTAGATTAGCAGACCTGTGACAGGTGGGGATGGTATGGTCTCTCTCTGTACATATATAGTCCATAATGAGAAGGGTGTTTTTCACTGTGCAGTTGCCAAACAGCTGCTTGTCAAAGTATTATTAATTTGACTTTGCAAATCTGAGGCATAAAAGTTGAAAAGTATCTAAGTAGTCTTGTACATCACCAATACATACCTTGGTAATTGCTCATGACATACTTGCCAATGTTATTGATACTTAGGCAATAGATAAATATTTCATTATTTCTAGATGCATGATCTACTGCAATTTTAATCTTCACACTGCCAAAACCACTTTGTGGTCATCACATTAGACATCAGATTACTTTTTGGCTTCTTGACAAAGATGTGGTACAGAAACTGGTAAGAGACTCCATTGAGTTCGGACTGCTTCACTGAGGATGTAGGGCCTCTGAGAAACAGGCAGGGACTACCGACATCCACAAAAAATGTAAATGAAAAATTCCCTAAAAGCACTTCTGAGTTGAGTGTGCATTCTTTCATAAGATATGTGTCAATCTCTTTTATTGGAAATGCTTGGGAGCACAGCTGTTTTGCACATTATAAAGTTACTGACCTTTGTTAATGTGTAAGAGCTAGGAATGAGTATTTGTTTTATTAACAAAATCCATTGTCTTCCATCCCTTTTTATTTCATTTTTTTAAAAAATTTCAGCATTTTAAATACAAAATGAAGATGGTGGTGTACTGAAACTCCATGTTAACTAGCAACTTTTGGATTTTTTCATGATTTTTTCCTAGTTAGATGAAGGGAGAGAACATGTTAGAAAAACAGATGAGAGGGAATTGTGGAGGAAGAGAGAAAAATGAGGTGAAGAGATAAGAGGAGAAAGTGAAAGAGATCAGGTGTTAGTCCATTTCCTATGGATTTTCCTGGCACCTGAATGCTGCAATGAGTGTGCCCAGGATTTGCTGAACTCCATACCAGCCTAGAGGTGAAGGCTGTGTCCCAAAGGGATAGTTGCTTTGTTCTCCTTACAGAGACAGTGTGGGAAGAACACCGGGTATCCCAGAAGTATAGTGGAAACTCTGCTATTTTATTCTATCCTCTTTTTAGTGACAAAGCAGTATTAATCAGGTATATTGTGGATGTTAGTTATATATTAAACTTATATATCTACTATCTAATATTTATTCATACATGTAAATGTAAGTATATATATATGTATATACAATGTATAGACAAATTGTATAGACAATTCATATCATCCTTGCCAGGAGTATCATGCTTAAAGAAGTATGATTCCTTAAATGACTACGTGAGCAGCAATCCCACTGTGTTGCAAAAGGTGGTAGAAAAAAGAATGTAGACCAGCAAAATCTGTCATCATCAAAGCCACCCAATACAGAACATACATCTGTTTTTTCAAGAAAGCACAAGAGACACATTAGAGAGATGGTAAGAAGCTCCCAATTTTGAATGTTAACTTTCTTTGTTTCCTCTCTAGGGGATACGGCATTGGTGTAAGGCTGATTGATGACTTTTTAGCTCGTTCAGCTGTTAAAAAATGCCGCAGTTATTCTGAAACTGCAGACATGATTGCACAGGTAAATAAGATTTACATTTTCTAAAGCTTCATCAGATTCAGTGGTCTTAGTTTTATCCTCCTCTATCAGTTTACTCCAGAACAGTTGCCTACATTTTCTGCTGTATCGTGATTGTCATAACAAAAACCAATCCACAGTCACATCCATGCTTCCACTGGATGAAATACAGCCTTTTCCTTATCTACAACTCCATAACACATAACACGAAATGGGATGCCAGCTGTAAGAGGCTGCCAGCCCCTGACATAAACTGACCTTAAAGTCAGTTACTAAGTTGAAATTAAAGTTCTTCTATTTCTAGCAGCCAATGAGGCGTTTTGCCATTAGAATAAATAAAAAGGTAGGGTTTTGTTTTGTTTGTCACAGCTTAAGCTGATTTTTTCTACACTTGCTGGAGAATGCAATAAACAAAAAAAATTATCCCATTTTAACAAACTTCCAATCATATATTCCCTCACTGTTTTCTCTTCCTAGGAGCATAAGCCTTAACCATCTCATACAGATCTTAAACTTCAATATTCTTAGTTCTGCCATTTGACTCTCCTCATCATCTCCATAATTATCTCAGGTGGTTTTTAAGTTTAAAATGGTAATTAATATTAAGAATAAGCCACAGGCTTTTCTGCAAAAAGAAAATCTCAGTGGTAGGAAAGAAGAATTGTAAGAAAGGAAAATGAGAGGAACATTTTCCTGACTACCCACAAATCTAATAATAAAATTAAAAACATAAAATCAGTGTGTATTTTCACCTTCTTTGATGGAAATTTCCCTTTTATTGAGTAGTTGTTCACACTTCTGTCAGAAAAGAAATATCTAGGAGGAAATTTAGTGGCAATACATGGGTTTCTAAAGATCTACTTTTGCCCCCATGGGCAAGTCAGAATTCCTGGGGAAGCTCAAAGAGAAATTCGTAAGACATCTAGCCTCATTAGACTGCTGAGTCACTGTAAAGGAGGTGGTAGTTCATAGATACTGAGTTAGCTCAGTCTAACACCTGCTCAGGTCATGATGAATGATCCCTTCTATCTTCTATGGTTCCCACCTATGAAGTGTTGCCAGTGAAGATATGCCTGGCCTTTCCCAATGGCAAAAATTAACCACACTTTATGCCAGAGAAATTTACAACATGGTCATTTAGTCTAAGAGGAGAGATCAGGGCATCAGTTAATTGAACGGAGATTTGTTTCCATTGGCTCATTTTAGGAGACAAAAGTATGCCTGGCATACTTTTTGATTGCTTGAGAATTACCAGCAGCATGGGGTAATTCTCATTATGTGATCATTATGTTTAACCCACAGAACTGGGAAGCAGCAGGCTTTCTGTGTAGTGAACTAAGGCACTAGGATGTGCCAGTTATACAGGAGTATCTTAGTTCAAAGTGTATGTGGATATTGCCAGATGGTGTGTGGTCCTGCTCACATTAACTCTGTCAGAAATACCTACATTGCATCGGACTCAGATGGAGGGACAGAAGTTACATTATTATTCCAAGATGCTTATCATAGAGAAGCAGATGGCTGTGGCAGAAATGGAGAAAGAAACTCTTTTTCCTGTTGCCGGTACGGCTATAAGGTGCACATGTGCAAAACACACATGTACACCACGACCTGCCAAAGTTTAAAGGAGAAGCAGGTGACAGTGCTAAAAGCCAGTCAGAGCCCATTAGCTCATAAAAGAGTCGAAACTAAATTTCTTACTTCAGTAAAGTCTATTTTGGAGTCTCAAATCAGGATGATATATAACAAAGCTTGTCCTGTGGATCAGCTGAGCTGGGGTAGAGGATCCATTGGAGATAATAAGGGCAGCTGAACGAAACCCATGAGACAAGCGGCATTTCAATCACTGTTTTAAAATACACTGTCTCGTTAAAAGAATGATACCAGGCTGCAAAATCACATTTTTGTTCACTTTTACATTCTACTTTAGGTGGTGTTGGTACTTTATTTTCATGTATATGTGAGATATCTGGTTTTCTGGGTCTTAATCTTCATGTTTCTATTTACAAATACCTTATTACAGTTGAACCACCATTCTTAAGTACAGGGGATTCAACAACACAATACAGTGCAAAATTAATGATTGAAGTAAGGAAAAAGACACTATTCCTCTGCAGGTTGTACTTCAAAAGAGACTTACTAAGAGAAATAAAAGATTACTTGGAATGATTGGAACTAACTTTAAAGTACACACAGTCTCTTGAAAAGACTATTTTTAGCAAACTAAAGGAGGAGTTTTGTAGTAGGAGTATAGCATTTCTGAGGCAAAATGTGATATGGAAAGCATTTTCACATTTCTTTGGGAAAACATTTTTAAATGCTCTTCAAGCAGATTTGTCTGAGGCGCATACCAACAAAACATATGTAAAGTGATCCAGCAAGTAACTGCAAATACACTCTTAAATTTTTCTGTTCAAAATCACTCAGCTGTTTACATAATGCCTTTAACTCCTCAGCAGTAGGTTCTCAGCTGGGAGAAACTGCATAAATACTCAACTGTACTAAGTCCTCTGAGGTATAAATCTGTTTGAGGATGAGTAGAACCAGTTCAAAGTTAAAGTAAATAAAGACAGTTAAGTACTTCAAGTACTTAGAGCCAAATGTCCTGTAAGCATAGTTGTTATCCAGCAGTCTTTTGCAAAACACAGGAAAAGTCTGTAAGGTCAGGCTGTGGGTGTTCCCTGAGGAAATGGAAAGAGATAAAGCAAACAAACAAAAAAAAAACAACCATAAAATGAGGACTACAAAGCCACCTTCCCATATTAAGAAATAAAGATGGAGGAAAAGTGCACCCAAGGCAATGACTGAGGGCTTAAAACTTCAACCACTGGTTCAGACTACAAAGCCTGGGATTTACTGCTGCCATATACTAGACTGGAGAAGAGCCCTTCTACACTGAGTTCTCATGGTGCCGACTGACTTCTCATGTTGGTCCTGTGACTTGGCATGGTTACAGTTGGGGACTGAATAAAGAAAAGATAAAATAGGCCATATAAAGTAGGCTCTCACTGGCAAACTGGAGTGAGAAAATGGAAACCAATTGAGGAATGGTATTAAGAACAAAACTCAGCTGAAGAAGTAATGTCCAAGTCTGGATTCAGAATTTGGGTCTGAGTATAATTAAGTAGATACTTTTGGGATAAGGGTGATAATTTTGCTCTATAATCCTACAAAGTCAAATTTTTCCTTCAATTCCTCCTCACAGAACCTTGACATCATTCAAATAACATGCAAAAAATATACAGCTTCTGGTTTTAGATCTAATCCCAGTGTTACCTTCTCCAGCACCAGGAGGTATTTGTGCAAGCCAGAGATGGAAGCAGCCAGACCACACCCTCTGGTTCACGGTGAGCTAGTGCTGGCTCACATCCTCCATTGCTCTACTAAGCAGTGCTGTGCCTAAGGATACATCTGTTGCTGAAAAGCAGTGACTGCAGATATGGGCTTTATTGTAGATGCTCAGTACCCCGTGAATGCAGAAAATGTCTCTGTGGCTCTTTGAAGAGAGGTCCCTGGGGACAACAAGGGATGGGGTAATCCAATCATGTCACCCCCAAGCCCAGAGCTGCAGGACAAGAGATGTGATTCCCCTTGTCATGGAAGGTGCTGCCACACAAGGTCCCTTGGCCAGTTTGAAAGTCTGACAGAAGCTAGCAGAATTTACAAAGTGGTTAAATGTTCTTTTTCAGACCTTAGCAGTAAGAGAGAAATGCATATAGCAGGTTGCTGTGCTAAGTGGTAGACAGTAAACTGAAAAATGAAGTGCTGTACTGTAAAGAATAAAGAAAAGTTTATGAGAAAAGTTTGGAATCAGCTGCTGTAAAGCAACTTGCCTTACCAAACACTGACTGAAAAACACTAATAATGAAAAGTATGCTAGGAGAAATATTATTTTGGCTGCTTTTCCCTTCTAAGCAGATTAATTCTGGTCCTTCATTAATCTTGTTATGATGCCATTTGAAATTATGGTTTTCACTTATTTAACAGTCTGTACTTACTTATTTTCTGTCATTACTTATGCGTACAATGTTTTGTAGTGAAAAGTCCTCAGTAGTATGTAAAGGGACTGATAAGTTAGTGGCTTCCTAAGTATTTCGGTAATTCTAGACTGTGTTTAAACATCATCAAAATTTTAATGAATTTTATTCTTGCTGCTTTAGAGAGAGGGAATGCTGGTTGAGACTTTGGAAAAGGTCAGTGGTACATATTTAATTCTGACTGCATAGATTTCTTGTTTGACGTTAAACAATATATAATTTTATAGAGCTGCTAGTATCATTTTCAAAAGAGAGATTTTGCTTTATATGGGCATAATTTCGATGGCAAGCCTGTGTACATGTCTAAATAAATATTCTTTTTTCTTTCATTTCATAGATAGAAATGAAACAGATTTATGGATACGACTTTTAAAACAGCTCATTCATTTTTCTTTCCAGTCTTTTGGAGTCACAAAGACTGAAAAGACCTTTGTTTTACTCTCTGAGAAGCTGTAAATGTTAGTTTTGAAGTAATTAATGTCCAGTCATAGCCCGTGTTTTTTTGTAAATATTCATATCTGTTCATTGAATTACTTATCTATGTGCTTCAGTTATTTTTCCTGACAAGACATTTTCACAATTTTCACTTTATAGCTTTGTGATTTTGCCCTAATTTGGTGTTCCATTGCAAACCAGCTACTTCTTTTACGTATGCAAGTTCTCATTTACACAGGAAATTTGAAACAATAGAATTAGGACGGATACATCATACCATAATGCCAAGTATAGATGAAACTAAACTGAAAATGTATGACGGCTTAGCACAGTTAAAAAGTCTTTATTCTTATAACAAATACTTTAGTTTGAGGGAGCAGCAGATGTGTAGTGGGAGAAGAGTTAAGAGAATTGAAATAAGTAAACTGAGGGACAGAGCACAGAGAACTGAGCAGAAGTTTTCTGTGTACTCATATTTTGATGGACGTAAGAGTTAATGAGAAATCTAAGTTTTGCAGCAGAAAATGTTGATTCTGCTGTTTGGTTTTGTTTGTTGGGTTTTTTCTCTCTCTCTTCAGTTTGTTTTGGATAGTGTTGACAATAGTCTTTGTCTCATCCTGAGCTACCATGGTAGCTGCTGAATTTAGGGACAATGTTGATAGAAAACAGCTTTTGCGATAGCAACTTGAAGAACAGGGTTAAATTTGCCAAAACCAGATTCCAGTTGAAAATGTAGGTCAAACTTGCTTTTATTTTTGTCTGGTTTTATGGAAGTATTCCAGCATCCACATGGAATTGCATTAGGTCATAGGCATTTTCGTAAGATAAAACAGTCACACAGCCCTGGGAATGAGGATCAGTGAGGGCTTCTACCAGGCACACACTGCAGCATGAATTGTTCAGCAGCTGTCTTGGAGGTGGAGACACTCTCAATAGGAATTACCTGCAAATATGAAGCAGGGTAAGGATAAGGAGAGGAGAATGCACCTTGGTTTTGTTCCTCCATAGTAGAAGATTAGGCTGGGAAGCACTGCTGTTTCATATGGCCCTGACTTCTCAAGTGCAGAGCTTTGAGCTTTCTTCCAAAGGAAAAGAGTATGCCAAAAGCCTTGAGTGGGATCACTCTGTCCTTCCTCCCTTCCCTCTACCAGCTATGCTTTTGACTCGGTGTCCCAGATATTATATCACAGTGGAGGCCTTATCTTTACATCAATCCACGTTTCCCATATTCCTTGATCAACTTATTAACCTACTTGATGTCCTCCCCTTTGCGTCTCTACTTTCTTTGGTTTTCTGTGGTACCACTGAGGAAGGAAGTTTTGGAAAAGAAGGGTTGGCCCAGGCAGCAGGATGTGTCTCCTCTCCTCTTGCATGTACGGAGGAGGTGAAACGGGGCTGAACAGAAGATGTTGGAGCAGCTCTCATAAAGAAAGATAAAACCAGACAAACGGGAAGGGTTGTATACCCTGAAAGTAGGTAGATGCTATACCAGGAGAGGAACCCAGTGTATATGCCAGGCATAGTGTCAGACATGGCTGCTGTTGTGACTTTCATTTTGGCAGTGTTGCACCTGTGCTTTCAGCTGCAGCATTTGAGTGTATGACATGTTCTAAGTCTGTTGCTAAGTGAATCATTTGGGATAAAAGTAGTTTAAACATTGTCTGAAAGGTCACAGGTTATTCAAAACATACAGAAAAATTCTGAGCAGACAGTGGAATTAGCTCTTGGATTTTATTTCATAAAGAGTAATTGTCTGTATATGCCTGTAGATACTTTTACCTGCTGAAAGAAGCACAATGAGTATGAGAACAACTGGGCAGAGTACCCTGGTTTGTTGTTCAGAGCTTGACTCAAGCACAGCAAAAATATGATTCTTTGCAGACTCGGAGAGACTGGCAGTAAAATGCTGCGTAAAAGCCTGCCCAGACACCCCAGGGAAAGTAACTTTTTTCTCCTTTTATACAGTGTTTGAGAATACTCTGGATGGATATCTTGTGTGGGAGCCAGATGGTGAATTCCAAGTGGGTGAGGTAAAGCATAGGGCTCTGGGGTGAAACGCATTTGTCAGAGGCACTGATTATGCAGTTGCCTCATCTGCCAGTTCTTCTTGCTCCTGACACTAAGTTTTCTAAGATATTCAGAAAAATGAAGATCAGTCTTCTGCAAAAATATTTTCTTGTCTTGAAAAGTGGAATTTTCATTCCAGGCCCTCCGTTGTACACTAGCTGTAGGCCCAGTACAAACAGTATTACATAGCACTACAGGCTGCACCTAGTGCCTGAAACCCACTCAAAACTAGAACTTGATACCCATACAAACAGAAATTCTCAGTTGGAGAAGATAATATGGAGAAGATGTTTGGCAAAATATCCAAAGAGAGAAGTCTTGAGGGATTGCTGGTGCCTTAAAATGAGGCTGTACCTGCAATTCTCCTGGAAGTGACTTGGAAGGAAACCCTTTACTTTCTATGGGCTGTCAGAAAGCTACACACATCTTCTATTATCATATTCACACACTTTAAATGATGTTACTTAATGGTAGTCTCTTGATTTACATAGAGAATGCTATAACACCTTTTACATGGGATATTGTTAAAACCCACTTGTAGAAGTCATTATTCATCTCTTTTTGCTGTCAGCTCTTGCTGTCAGCCAGTGACATTAGTAAAGCATGAACCCCGGATGACATGGAGGACCGCAGCCTTTTCACTCATGTAGGGAAATAATTTCATTCCATTCTTTTGGAGCAAGTGTATTACTGGAAGGGAACATGATGAAGAAGAAAGAGACTGTTGTGGGAAAAAAAATAGAGATGAAACCAGCTAGAAGTATGCTATTTTAGCAAGATATAAAAAAGCTGAAAATTGATTTATGGTATTTCCCTTCTTTCCACAAAGTCCAGCATTGTCTCCCTTTCCTCACTGGTTCCTTTCTGGCCTTCTTCAACTAGCTTGTGAATTGTACTATAATGCTGTTTGCTGCTGCTGAAAGAGTAAAGCTGGGAAGCATCCTCCCATGCCTGAAAAGCTGGCAGGGAAATCGGTTCTGGTTCCTTGTTTTCAAAAAAGCACTCGAGGTTTCTCTCACTCAGCTTGGTGGCATACAGCTGGAAAATATGCTCCAGTTGCTCCTTCTCCGTCCCCTCATACACTCTTCCGAACATCTGCTGGAGGTGACTGACTTTTGAATGGCAGCTGGCACAGCAAGTGGCTAGTAGGGAGAGAAGGGCTGTGGTAACTATCACACACCAGCCTAAAATCTGGGAAAGCAAAAGAAATGAGTTTCAGGTTAAAAAGACGCAAGTGAAAATGCTACTTAAATCACGAATGTCTGATCAAGTGACCAAACTTTGTAGGGAGGACCTGCTGCTCCTTTTGGAACCCTGCTGCAGGCATCTCATTCCAGTTTGCATTTGGTGCTGGCATTGATGTTAATGGGGCATCCATATGGGGACTGAAGGGAAGGAGAAATCCATCAGATTGAGACTTCTCAAAAGTGCTTATTTTAGTGTCTTTTTCTCAGGAAGGCAAAAGCTGGTTGATTTTTATAGTGTAAGGTAAAACAGTCCTGAAGAGTTGGCTCATACTAGAGTCTTACTGCCTCCCTAGACCATATTTTAACAAAAGGAACTTGGATAACAGTTCCCTGAAGAGATATGACCAGTGCAATGGCAGTGGCAGGTTCAGAGACAGATGATTTCAAATCAGACCTCAACTAGAAGACTGTATGTGAAGAAAAATCTATGAGAGGTCTAAATGATCTATCAAATAATGTAGTGGCTGAAGAGAGCTATACAGAAAAGAGAGCAGACCTGAGAGCAGGAGTAGTATCTGAGTAATTTAGAGAGAATATTTATCAGAGTTTATTGCAAAACCATAACCATCTGGCATGTAGCGTACTGGAATTGCTCTCCGTATTCTGTCACACAAAGAGAAAATTGCATCGGGAGAATAAAATATCAGTCACTAGATGGTAAAAAGTTTTCTATCTCCTGAAAGTGTTAAATAAAATTACCTAACAAAAATTAGTATTAAGACACAATTTTAAATAATGATGAACTACAAAACCAAAACGGGTGACCTTTTGCCCCAGATCAATCAACTTTTTAATTGTGAGCTCACTTAGATGTATTGTTTTCTGACTTGTTTTTAATTAAAAAACCTCTCAAATGCAACAACCACATTAACTAACAGGAATATAGAAGATGCTCTCAAATTTAAAGTGTTCCCCAATTTGAAATGTTCCCCAATTCTTTTGGCAGAATATTCACTGGAATCTATGCTATTATTGTGAAACTTTCTTGACTTTGATGAATCAATCCTTTATAATGGAAAGTTATTTTATGCTAAAACCAGTTAAAAATTACCTTTTTGCCCAATTCTGTGAGAATGCCAGGAGAGCATGACAATGAAGAAATATTATGTGCATTGGTAGGTCTGTGTTAGCACTGGAATTGAACCCTATTCATCTACACACTTATTAGAAACAATTTCTGTATTTTCAGAGAACTTAATTTTTGCTGAAATATGCTTTTGCACCATCAGTTAGCTTTTTTTTTCTGTAGGAGCTTCAGAGTCTGACAAAATTCTGTTAAGAACATTTTAAAAGAAAGAGCTACCCCAGCAAGGGATGACAGTGGAAAAATGTGCTTGAAATTGTTATTGTGGGATGTTCTCCTCTAAGGAGAGCAGAGGTGTGAAGACAATTTTTTCATGCCTTGTTCCACTGGCCTAGCCAACAGTTTTACTCATCTACTCTACTGCAATATGTAACATTTGCAAAAAAATGTAATACTTGTTTAGAAACAGTGGAAAATATTCCAGTGTGGAAAAATTATTCTAGGTTTCAGAGATCCATATGAACTGGAACTTGTTTCCCATGCTCTAATGGTGATGAAATGGAGAGCTGCAACCTTTCTCATGTGAACTCTTGCACTGATGTTAAAAAAATAACCACCAGTAAAAATCTGTATTTAGCTGAGGGAATGTAGAAAGTTTCCTCAAGGAAAGCTGTGAAACAGAGAAGCTTGACAAACAACTCTTGTTAGGAACTGGTAGGGAAGAATAGTTTAGCTTTCTTTTATTTTCCCTAATCACTTTGTAGTGACTGATGATTTCTATGGGTGTTTGAGAAATTGCTCTTTTTAGCAGATTGTCATTTTCTTACAGGTTGGAAAATGAAGTCATGTATTCTCACACTACAAACCCAGTCACCGGTCTTTCACTATTTCCTAGCATACAACTTAAATTCTGAAGCACTATTTATTATTTCCTTCTAAAACTCCCAAATAAATTGCTTTGTCTGCAGTGCAGGCTTTGTCTGCATTCCAGTCCTATTTGCATGAGGACTTGAAAATAAAACTGGCTCTTGGGGAGGAAATTGTTCCAGATGGATACAATTGCTTGACAAAAACTTCCTGGCTCCACAGTGTTTTTCCTTTTCTGTGGCTTTTTTTTCGTCCACTGCTTTGTTTCTTTGTCTCAGAATTTATTTGTGTTACAAAGCAGTGAGCAGAACTGTATTACACAAATATTGTAAAATGTAATAAAATCTCAGCTTGCTTTATGTTAGTATTTCTTCTTTCCTTTAAGCAGGACAAAAATGTGCTCACCTCTGGCATCACGAATATGAGGAACACAAACACGTTATGTAGGCAGACACAAGTCTGTCAAAAATCTTATTTTCCAGTATCTTTCTGCTGTTAGTGACCTAAGATTTCAATGTGGTTATCACACTCTTCTATATTGTACAATGTGCATTCATTACAATAGTTTAAAATAAGAGAGTATAGCATGAATTTTTTATTGGAACAGACCTCTTTAATGAAATGACATCTGTTAAATCAGCCTCCTAAACAATTCAGTCGTTTTAATCTCTTCAGAGCTATCTCCGTTCAGGAAGAAAGCTTAAAGTTTTCTGGTTTTATTGACACTGCCCCTCAGGAAGTATGTGGGGCCCCTCAGGAAGTATGCAAAGCTCAAACTGAACTGAAAGATGGATTGTATTTTGCAAGGCTGCACTTTGCCAAAACACTGTTTACACGAAACCAATGTTTTTAACATATCTGACATTAGGATCTTTCACAGATAAATCATAGCAACAGTACAATTTGCATAATGCTCTTTATTTATAATTTTTCTTACCTGGGACTGTGCTTGAAGTGTTCGTCTTAGTTCATCACTCTCTGAAAAGGGCATGGAGCTTTTGCCACAGGCTACCATGTGTAGCTCTCCAAAGCACTTTTCAGATTTTCTGTTGCAAACCACCTTTAAGTAGGCAGGAGTGTCCAAGCCACTCATGGCACATTCGTAAAAAGTCCCGTTGAGCAAAGCCACAGAAAGCCACATCACTGGGGCAACCAGGGCATTTAGAGTGATTTGTCCAAAGACGTAAAAGAAATGGCAGACATTCCCTCTTGGGAATATTTTCCTGGGATTCACCCAGCAGCCTGTAAAGAGTTTCCAGGTCTTGTTGTTCAAGAAGTATCCAATAACTAGCAAAACAAGAGCTGGGGAGAAGAGAAATACCAAACCGTACCTGAGGTTTTCACCGCTGCAAGGGCATCTGAAAGCAACAAGAGAAAACACACGTTCACCTCCCATTGTCAGCAGTGCCATAAAACTGTAACCTATAGCAGTTTTCTGGTTGATGAAGAACTTTAGGATTGTTTGGAAAGCATCCATGTCTGATACTCACTAAGGAGGTAAAAACCAAGACAGTTTATCTTCGCAGCAGTTTGCAGCAGGGGAAAGCTCTCCCGAGGACGAGCAGCCCGCTGCTGGCCCGCCTGCCCACGCACTGCCGAGATAACGCCGTGATGTCAGTGCCTGCAGAACTCACCCCGCCGCCAGCAGAGCAGATGTTGCACATTTACAGTAACATTCAGCGGTAGTAGAAAGCAAGCAAGCAATGCTCTAAGTAATCAAATAAGTTTGCAGTCTTGACAGACGTGTTCTTGGTGGGTTATTGTTATTTTTGTGACTGCAGATGGAGATCAGAGTAAAAACACACACCAGTTGCAGGACATCTTGAGCTGTGATGGTAAAAGTTGTGGCAATGTAGTGAAGGACCTAATACAAAGGCTAATGGTCCCAGGGGAGTATAACATGACTGAAAGCAGACTAAAAGCAAACGAGTGATAATGGTAAAACCACTTTGTATGGGATTGTAAATGTAGGAACATCAAAGACAGAACAGACAGCCTTCTGTTGTGTTTCCCTGGAGCATCACATAACTCTGGTTTTGCATTGCTGGCTCAAGCTGAACACAGAAAAGGCAAATCTAGTTTGATTTCTAGCCTGTCTGGCCCTTCCCCCTATTTTCCTGGAGCAAAACTAGTGTACAGGATGTTGCATTCTAAAGTTTCATCTCTGGTTTGTATATAGCAGATTCAGGCAACAGAGTTTCATCCTTTTGCAGGTTGCTTTCAAGACGTACCTTGGGATCACCCCTAGTGTGAGTTGCAGTAGTGCTGCAGGAAATGAATTCTCCTTAATCCTGGACAAAAACCCACTAGTGGACTTTGTGGAGGAGCTCCCAGCAGAACGAGCATCACTTTGCTACTGTAACCTCCTCTGTGGGGTGATTAGAGGTGCCTTGGAAATGGTAAGGAAGTGCATATCTGTTTTCACCATTCTTTGTTAATTCACAGGCACAGGAAAGCAAACCCACCTGCTCAGATAAACGAAAATACAGTATTGTTTAAACTCTCATATTAAATGTCTATATCTGAATAAAAGAGGGCCAAACTGACCCTGGATCCTGAGGTAGAGAAACACACAGATTGGCTCACCTCCACACTGCCTCTGCCTGGCTCTTCAGTGACTGACTTGGGTGCAAAAGCCAGGAGGGGTTGAGGAGCCAGCTGACATGTAATATGGGGAGCCATGGGGGCATGCTGGGTTCCTCCACTGCTGCTTGAGCCTATAGCACTTTCCTCCACAGCTGTAGCCAGTAATACTCACCCCAGATTCAAATATATGCAGATAGGCAATATTCTCAGGTAACTGCAGCACCTGCTGAAAGGGAGAACAAAATGTGGATAAATATAATGTTAAAATCAAAGCATCAGAAGTGTATCAGATGGCATTCCAAATTTTGTTCTTAAATTTAAAACTTTTACAAAATAATAAATAGAGGGCATAATTTGAAAGTTACTGAGCAGTAGAGCTTCTGTGGCTTTTTCTAGTAGATTACTTTTGGTCTGCTTTATGTTACTGCCAATAACTAATTTGGCATGTATTTTATATTTCAAGAGAAAATAAACCTGAGCAAGTATTACGTATATAAATCAGACTCAGAGTTATGGTATCTGATACAAGACTAATTAACAAAAGTATTATATCTTAAATTTTAGTATGTGACCAGGAAATTCTATGATCACAAAATCATCAAGTATACAGTTTAGGTTCTCAGAAGAAAGCAAAGCACTGGAATGAAGAGTAATGTATTATACAAATCACAGTGCATATAAATTTCCTTTTTATTAACTGAGTTGGGAAAGACATTTTAAAACAATCTAGAAATCTGTTTCTTATGAAACCTGAAAAAGGGAGTCCTCTTGTGGTAAGAGGGAGAGAGAGGAAAAAAGCTCTTATACTGGAGGAGGGTGGAAAACTGGGGATTTCTTCACTTAACTGATCAGACTTGATTCTTTTTAGGTTCACCTAGAAGCAGAAGTCACCTTCCTCCAGGACAGGCTGAAGGGTGATGCTGTGACAGAAATAGGAATTACATTTTTAAGGAAGCCTGAAGGCAGAAAGCACAAAAGGAATAAATGAAAGAAATATTGGGAGAAACCCTCACTGAGGGATATTTTGTGGCTTTTGTTTCAGAAGAAGACATGCAGGGTAAAAATGGTTTCACTGATCCAGCTGCACCAGCCACTTGGTTGAAAGGTGAAGACAGCTGGGCCATAAACAGGAGGGGCAGGGCAGGGAAGAGCAATATTAATTGTCATGGCACAGATATTAAAATGATCAAAATGACCTGCCCTTCCTTCTCACATAACCATGCTCTTGAGCTTAATGCAAGTTTTGTCTCAGTATTTAGTGCATGCTGGATGCAAAATATTCATTTGGACATCAAATGTTCTCAGACAAAGATGATGACCTTTTCCCATTTTGTTTTTCAGTAATATTTCAAAGCATGGCTGCTAAGAGGTGCTCTATTTCCCTGGCTGTGCATGCTTAGGTATAAAGAATTCATCTGCTCTGGCTGCTGTATACCATGTGTCGCTCACAGGTACATGTTTCAATGTGTAGTGGTTTGTCATTCATTGTCCTCCATGCTGGACATCCTGCTGCTTTGATACCACAGAGGGATGCAGCTTCACTGATGGCAAGAGCTGGTTGGGTTCCTTACTGCTCTTCCAGGCCCCATATGCAGTTTTGCTGGCATACTCAGTCCTGTGCGCACAGCAGGCTGCAGCCTTCTGACAACTGCAGCAATGCTTGTGTTGCTCCAAGCCTTTTCATGTCAGCCCTCTCTTCAAGAGCACTCATCTTATGATCCAACTGAACAAAGCATGATGTATCTCATGTGTAGTCACTTTAGATCTGTACTTGCCTAAGGAAACTTGAATGAAAATTCTAAGATTGCCACACAACTGGTTTGGTGGTCATTGTGTCTGGTCTTACCTGACCTTCACCATCAGCTGTTGAACATGTTCCCCTTGGCATTGGACTTTTTACCACAACATGACTGGGAAACAGAGAAGGAGGAGCCTCACAAAGACCTGAGTTACAGGAAGGGTTTAATATTTTTCCATGTAACACAAGATATCTAGATGAGGGTTGGACAAAACCCCAGGTCCTAACATGATACCCTACCCACTAAGCCATCTCACCTTCTCCTCACCAAAGCACTTGTTTTAAACTGAAATACAAACAATTAAGTTCATTGAAGCCCGGAATTAACCCTGATTTTATCACTGTGATTTTAACCCTCTTCTCCTATTTTTCCCTCAGTCTGTTTACCTCTTAATCCTGCTAAGTGAGGGGCATCTCTTACCTTGGGGACTGCAGGGTTCATTTCCACCAGATCTGTGTAATCTTCATGATAGTCCTTTTCCCTTCATACATCTTAACAGTGTCTTACAGTGGTGGCAAAGTGTAATGGAGCTTTAAGAGAGCAATTTTGTACAGAACAAAAACTAAGCTATTCATTACCCAGTCTAGGTCTCAACCCAACTGCTGTTATCTGCTACCAGTAAGAAGTTACAACATGTAACAATGTCATGTAACAATGTGTTACAGCCAGTAACAAGTTTCTATACTTTTTGTTTGCTTTGGTTTGGTGTTTTTGGTTTTTTTTTTGGAGGGGGGGAGTTGTTGTTGTTTTAAATCAGGGCTAAAAGGTCTTGTGGAATTTGTCTGATTTCACTGCCAGTACAGGAGCCCTCGGTGCAGTTTTTGCTGGTTATATCTAGCTGGCTGAGACGGACATGTGGCTGACCACAAAAAAATGTTCTTTATAAGGCCGTTTTTACTTTTTCCAGCAACATCCTATTAGCCAAAAGTTACCTTTTACATCTTCAATATGAGAGGTAAAAGGTAACATTTCAAACTGAACTGTGCTTCATGAAGGCACAAGTAACAAAATTGGACACTTGATACTCTATTATCATTAAGTAAGTTTCTTGGAAGGAAAAGAGCACTGAGCAAGTCAGTGCTTGTGACAAAATGAATGATTTTTAAAATTCTTTTCTACATATATAATTAAATCTTGTTTTCCCTTTATGTGTTATACTTTCAGTTTATAGTGAGAAAGAATCTTCCAACCTCATTATATTCAGCTAGTTAAAATAGGCTCTTCCCTTCCTTCTTCCTTGGAAACTGAGTATAACAAATAACTTCTTGGGATTCCTTTCTGTCTGTCTGAATAGTTTCCAAGTTTACTGTGCAGAAAGAGAGGATTTCTGAGAGTAATAGGACAGCCCAGACCAAACGATCTGACTCACCTCTCCTAAACACTGTCTTAGGAAAAAGCTTTTCAGATGAAAACTGAACTTTGCTATTCTTCACTCAAAATCGATATATTTGTTCTTATAACTTGATGTTCTTTGATAAGAATATTATTATTTGCTAATATGGATTACAGATTTATAATATCCTTAAGTATGTGGTTGTGCTATAAATGTTTGTTAATATATAAGCTTCACTTGCACTGCCATGTTATGCATAAACCTAATCCCTCAAGACAAGTTAGTTTACACTTTGATAGACTCCATTCTGGATGAAGTTAAATAGTGTATTTGGCAGGGACAAGCAAATGTAGCTTGGGTGTAGCTTAAATATCTTAGGTACTGATGCCAGGGCCAAAACACTGTACGTATGATTATATCTTTTAAAAATCCCATAGGAATTAAGTCCTTTTGAGAAAAATAAAAGGAAGAATATAAACAGTAAGTTTAATGTTAGTGTATTTTCCCTGCAGCATTCATTCAAATGCCTATTTTTTTCCATTAAAGAGCTTTACAATTAGAGGAAATTAGCAGTAGAGATAATTATGAAAGACTGCTGCAAAAGGTGACCAAGATCAATCAGTGGTAATGAAAATTCACTGCCATGGGAGCTTTTAGCTTCATGGGTACTTCCCAAAGCTGCTGAGCACATAGAGGTAAAATGACTGGAAGCTATTTGGTCAGCAATTCAAACTGATATGCAGCTGAAATCATTCTATGGACCCCTTTGCTATGCACAGGTAGCTCCAAAATGGTAATTGCTTCCCAGATTTTCAAAGAAGCTGTCTTGCCTTTAGCAACTAATTGACTGAAAGTAAATATCTTACTGAAAGTAAATATCTTTCTGCTGCACTGAAAGTTCGTCAAGTGAGAGCTAATAAAGTAAGCTGAATTTCTGATCAAATCTTCCATTCGTTTTGTCTCTTTGATAAGTTTTGGTATTGTCACTCGAGCTGCCAAGTGCCCTTAAGCTGTTTGGTAATAATCTGACATAGTATGTGCTGACATCTTTTCAAATGCTGATAATTTTAAACATATGGCTCTTCTTAATGAACAACAACATATGAAAAGTCCCATTGTGACAGATGTATTTATTTAAATGTATTTAAGCAAAAGTAATAAAGTCTATTTAAAACCAAATCTGCTGAGGGTTACAAGTATCATCTTTTACATAACGTTTACATAGATTTCAGCACAGAGGAACACAGAATAAGACTCTTCTGGTTAAAAGACTGCCAGCATTGCAAAGGATTTGTTTCACTAAAACCCTGAATCAATTGCATCTGTTTCATCAACAAATCCTAAAACAGTGGGATTTTGACCGCCTTCCTCAAAGTTGGCGCTGTTGCCTCTGTTTGTGTTCACATACTTGTGTATCATGCTGTAATACTGCTCTTGTGAATTGAATGTATACAAGAATGAAATCTTCTTCCAGTCTTCGTTGCTGGGAGTATGAAATGGTGCTGGGTCAGTGGCTTCAAAAAAGCAATTTGTATTTCTTTCTGCCAGCTTGGTTGCATGCTCCTTGGCTTTGATCTCAAAGAGTTTCTGTTCTTCTTTTGAGTAAATTTTCCAGAACTTGAGCTGAAGATAGCTGACTGGGGAACAACAGCGGCTGACACATGTTGAAATCAGTGCCACAGTGATGATGAAGGCTATCAGGAACCACCCTATCAGCTTGAAAGAAGAGAGATAGGTTAATGGTGGTTTTGTGTGGTCATATGAAGGAGTATAGAAAATAGCATTGAAGAAGATATGAAAACTGTAAACGAAGACACTCCCTGGAGTGCATGTAACTGCTTGCTGCCAAAAGAGGGGATTCCATGCACACAATTCAGCCAGCCATACAAAGCCTCTGTGCCCCTGAGCTGATCTTGTTGGATTAAGGATGAATATCAAGAAAAGAGAAGGTGGTCTGAAGTTATTTTCTCAGTTATATCCAGCTTTCTTAACTTTTAAGCAAAATATTGACCATGAGTTTCTACAGTTGTGGTCAGATTTATGGTACAGAGGACGCAAAAACACCCTGTGGGCCTCATGCTTGAAATCAGACCTCCTGCTGATTGTGCTCTATCTGATTGTGGACAGTAACTGCTCTCCCTGATGCCTGAGCATGCAAAAACAAACAGGGGCCACAACACACGGGAAAAGTTGTGTCCCGTACATTCTGTAGGCAGGACACAGAGTTGGCTATTGAATATGGGAATTCAGTTTTGTTTTATAGACGATTTAAACATCCTTAGGTAAGTCTCAGAGGTCCCATCAAAACCAGGTGTCCTAGTAGATGCTGATCTGTCCTTTAAGTGGTACTTATCTGGAAGCTCCAGGCAGAGATCCTGCAACATCCCCTTTTACCCCAGGATGACTTTTTTTTCAAATGAAAAATTATCGAGTGCTAAAGAAAAAGGAGTTGGTGTTCTTTTTGATTCTTAATTTTGTAGACAGTAGATTAGATATTAAAAAGTGGTCAGTAACAAAAATGCTCTCATGCTTTTTCTGTTTTTGTTTGACTAGATGTTTCTTTTAGATTTCATTGCAATATCAGTAATAGTCATTCCTCCTTGATTTTTCTCCTTTCTTACCCTATCTGAATTCAATGGTATAGAGTTTGCTCCTTGTCAGCCTCTTTCTTGGAGAAGGAGCATGCTAAATATTTAGCAAATGTAAACATTTTTTAATTTTAATAAGCATTTGTACTAAACAGGAACTTACAAAAATCTGAGTAATTATAAACTCTTATAAACTTAATTCCCTTAACCAGCTCTAATGTTTTCCTGAGGAAAAGTTACAAATTCTGATTTTTCTACTGGAATTAAGACGAGATCCATACAAACCTAGAAACAAAATTGAAATGCTGCCAAAATTTGGAGGTTTCATTTCACTCCAAACAGAGAAATCCACACACAAGTGCTATTTTTTGATCATGCAGTTTGTCTTCAGCACAAGAAACTTTAACAAGACAGATATATATTTTAACTACTCTGGTAGAATACAGGTGTAAAATTATTAATAGGTTCAAGCGTTGAGATTCATAGTCAAAGAAGCTGTCCTTATTTTTTCACTTGCCAGTTCTCTGTTGCAATCAGACATCAGCTTCCCCTTTAGTAGTGATCTCAGGTTCCCCTCAACTAATGCCTTTTTACAGAAGTTTGAGATATTTAGAGATTTAAAATGTGGAAAAGGAGAAGAACTTGCACCATGCCTAAGCTGACTGAAAACTTGTGTAAAGTCCTGGTCTCTAGGCTGGTTTCCTGCCCAACTCTGAATGAGGTTTTGTAAATGACAGTGCAAACATGCAAATCCAGAAAGTAGCATAAATATACACCTATTGCTTTTCTGTTACTGTTTTTTTGCTAATGAAATTTTGCTAGTCATATACCTGTGGTACATGATATTATACAGTGTAAGAGAGAAGGACTGTTTACAGTCCCCAGCAGGCACTAGTATACATTGAGGAGCCAGGATCAAAACCCAGAGTGTGAGGAGAAGAGAGGTGAGGCTTTACCTGGGACTGTGCCTTAAGGCTAAGAAGTTCACTTGATATGTTTGTTGATAACTTCTCATCACAGGGTATTTTGAACAGCAGGTTTTGGCACTCTTGTCCTTGATCTTTACAGATGAGATCCTTTATCAGGCTGTTCCCGCTGGCTGCACACGCGTAGAAGTTGGCGTTGAGCAGGGCCACGGCTATCCAGGTGAGTGGAGCCACCAAGGCTCTGGCTGTCACTGGTACCAATACCTGGCAGTAGCGGGCACAGGTTCCCCTGGGGCTGCAGTCACGGCACTTCTCCGGAGGGCAGGTGCCTGTCAGCAGGCGCCATGTCCTGGCATTCACCATGTAGCCGAGCAGCAAGAGGATGAAGGCAGGCACCATGAGGAAGACAGAGCCATACAGCATGTTCCCAGAATTGCAGGGACACTTGAACACCACAGAAGAGAAGATCTGCTCACTGGCAGCTGTCAGCAGGGACACAATGCTGTAACCCAGAACAGTTTGGTGGCGGATGCAGAAATCCAGTGCCCCACGTAATCTATCCATTTTCTCCCTCCTCTTACTTTGATGAGAGCAAAATCTCCATCAGAAAAGGATGAGAGAGAGTTGAATGCCCTGGAGCTCTGGTTTACAGAGGCTTGCAGAGCTTTCACTTTCTGTTCTTGGTGGTGATGCAGTGAAGCACAGAAACAGCTCTCCTCAGAGGAAACAAAGGAGCACGTGCTTACTGCACACTATCAAGGTCAAGCAGAAACCACAGTGGAAACCCACTCCAGTTTCAACATCATCATGGCTAGGCTTCGTGAATGAAGGTTTGGGAAGGGCTCTACCCACATTTACTACAAGCAAGCTGGTGGCTGAAAAGGCCACTGCCAGATAGACAGGTTGGGTTGCAAAAGGCACAGCAGAAAGACTCCTTAGGTGGTATCAGCAAGATACGGTTCTTTCTGCGTTGTCTTTTCTCCTTGAGAGTGATCCTGCATGCGTTCTCAAAGGAAGCAGCAGCGTTATAGATAGTGTGTTTCAATAGCAAAACAATAAAGAGCTTTATTTCTATAAAAATAATTTGTGTTTGTCCATACATGCATAGTAGCTAGTAATGTCTTACATCTCATCATCTTTTCAGTGAAGCTTTTCAGTGAGGCACCAGATTCAAAGTGGGAATAAAATGTGAGAAAACCACCCAGAACTATATAGATTTTTATCCTACCTTACTATTAGCAATACAATATGCCTTGTTCTCTTATGGAAGAAAATTCAGCAATAATCATGTTAATTTTTCAAGATAATCAATCAATCTTTTTTAAGTTGTTAGAGCAGTGCACATGCAGCAGTGACCAAGCAAATGACCCACTGAAGTTCCAGCTACCAGAATATTATTTGCCAGGAATCAGATTTTGGACTCCCTCCTCCATACCAGGTAGTGGCAGCTTTGCAGCCCAGAAAAGAACAAAACAAGAACGCTCCTAAACCAGCAGAAACTTATCAGATGGTATGAAGTGGAAAAATGATGGAAAAGGCTTGCATAATGAAGAAAAATATCTGGAAGGGCTTCCTGGGCATGGAAGACTCAGCTACCTGTGAAAATACTTGCTCAGAGTCTGTAAGTTTCATTCACTCCCTGAGGGAGATCAACCAGGCCCCTAAGGTTTGTCTTGTCCAAATCTAGACAAGTTGAGCTCAGAATTAAGGAAGTTGAAGCTTTGTAGTCATGCAGCTGAGGCAATGTAGGTAGGTAGTTTGCTTTTGTCACCCCCACATGTGCAGGTAGCTGGGAAGCTGGTGGTTACTGTCTTCTCTGCCACAACCACTTATATGGGATTTTAGAGTAAAAACTCACCTGCTTCTTGCATAAACTGGGAGCTCTCTGGCTTCACTGGATGCATCAGCAATATGAATTCACCCTGGTCAGAATTCAAATGCTGTCATTTATAATGCGCTGATTTTTTTTTGGGCATTATCATGGCACAGAGATTAACCACAAAGCCAGAGCTTCACCCCACTCTCAGGCAAACATTGCCTCCAGCTGGACCAGACTGATTATAATACTGGCTGCTTCCGGCAAGACAGTCAGGCATGATGCTGCCTGTATCAATGCATCACCTAGAGCTGCAGAAACCAAGCCTGGTGGAAACACAATGGCTTATCAAAGCTCTGTCAATGAACTTTGTGAGTCATTTAAACATTCCAAAGGGTCCTTTCAGCTCTTTGGGCAGCTGAGTAGGTGGCACAGAGGTGGCAGAACAGGCAGCACCACTTCAAGTGGCTGCCAGGCTCACACCAGATGTGCTGTGCTCTGTGCCAAGCTCCTGCTGCAGAGGAAAACATGCCAGTAACTGAAATGCTTGCCTTGGTCTAGAGGATCCTTTGTTATTGTGCAGCAGTATCATAAAAACACATACAACTAAAAAGTATATAAAACTGAGTGAATCAGACTGAAGCTTAGCCTGACCTCATCTTGGTTACAGCCAATAGCTGAGAGGGAGCACAGGGAACAGGGGAAGGAAGCTTGGGAATGCAGTCATACCCTGTGAATCTGCATTTCGGGGATTTCCTTTGCATCTGAAACCTGTTGAGTTATTTCTTCTGTAAATTTATCCGGATTCTGTTTTAACCCATGCAGACTTACTGACATCCAAAATATTGTACTGCAGGTGTGCTCAACCTTCTTTCAAACCTGACACCATACCATTTGATGTCCCCAAGATCTGGAAGGGAAAAACATAAAAGAGTGGATCCTTGGTGTCTCCCTCAACTTATGACCTTGAACATCTTCATCATAGTCCTCTGTTCCCCAGGCTGAGGAGCCCTTAATATAGTCATATGAGGAGCCCCTAATATAGTCATTCCTCATCTGATGTATTCCTTTGTATAATTTTTTTATCCATGTTGCTACCTGAACTGTTGTCTAGGATTCAGGTATCATTTTTTGCATGAGGGGAAATGGGAAGTATACCAGATTTCCAGTGCATTGAAGGTGCAGCTGAACCACAGTTTGCAACAAAGTCATACTGATGTTATTTGTTTTCTATTTCCTTGCAATAATTCCAGCATTTTAGCTGCTTTGTAATAATCCATGAAGCACTGAGTTGATATTTTAGCAAACTACGTATTATAATAAAAAAACTCTTTTCTGAGGGGTAGTTTCAGTAAGCTGAGAGTCTATCAGTGTATATATGAAGGTAGGATTTTGTTTCACTTTGAACACCACTTCTTCTACAATTAGACCTGCCATTTTGCTTTCTGGTCAGGCAGCTAAGAAAGTATATCTCCAATTCTTTAAAGCAGAGGTTCATTTTTAAAGATTGAGAATAACTTTGTATTATTGGCCACTATTGTTGCCTTGATTTTTACTTAGAGGCAACTACAGACAATCGTTAGCATGCCTTGAAACCAGAATTCAGCATATCTGAAGAAGTCTTAGCAAATGCCACATCCCTGGAAGTGTTGCAGAACGGGTTAGGTAGGGCTTTGAGAAGCCTGGTCTAGTGGAAGGTGTCCCTGCCCATGGCAGGGGGGTTGGAACTGGATGATCTTTAAGGTCCCTTCAAGCCCAATTCAAAATTTGATGATTCTATGATTCTGCATCAGAAATAACAAATGCTAGTTGAAATCGCTGCAAAGGTGCCTCCTGGCAGAAACAGGGATCTGAGCTGCCTCCAAGAACCACTAGTTTAACAAGGGAACTGAAGGACTAGTGACAACTCTCTGGAACAGATTACGACCTCACAGGGGAAAATATAGAGCCAAGAAATCCTGCTATTTCTCTTTCTTAGCCTAATTTTAGCAGTGTTTTATTTATCTGTAATAAAATATGATTTCAGGAACAAGCTTCCTGTGACAAGGGAGTGGAGCTCTGCATGAAAAAGGATTAACTCTCCTCCAAGCAAACATGTTTCCAGTAAATATTCACAGAAAGTGGTGGGTGAGGGAAGAGAGACCACCCGAGTTGGGAAGTGGGGGAGTAGCTATGCTGGGAGCCAAGTGGGGTGCAGGTGTGGCCAGGATGAGCCCAGTGGCGGCTTTGGGAGCTGGAGGGGGGTGGATCAAGGGAGCTCCGGGATATGAGGAGCCATGGGACTGGGGAGTTACAGAGCCCCTGTTCACTCAGAGCACTCTTCTCCCAAGGCAGCTCTTTCCTTCCCTCTAAATTAACACTTGGCTGGCCACAACAGCTGCAAAGTATTATATGGAAAGTGTTCAGAAAAACATTTTTCTGTTAAAGAACCCAGAATTCCAACTTAATGCTTGGTTTTGCATTGATTTGCATGAAATTTCATGCCTTCCAAGGGGGATGGGAACAATGCTGGAATTAAAAAGATGAACATTTTTAGAACAAAATGCTTATTTTTGTTATTTGAAACACCTCTTTTTTTTTTAAATACTATTTATTAAAATGAAGGGATCAGAGGAAAACAAATGGACTTGTTTAATATTTTATCAAGTTTCTCCTTGATGTTTTTAATTTCTATGCTTTCATTTGCAGACGGATGAATCTCAGGCATCTTCTAGGTGGAAAAAGCTGTAGTCTGACTAATTCTGTCGTTTCCTCAAGTGCATAACACTGGTCCTAAAAGCAGCATGTGTGCGTGCATGTGCGCTCAGGGGTTTTACCAGTACGTATGGTGTAGGTCTTGTTTTCATTACTTTAGTAAGTCCTTACAATAGATTATTTATTTTTTTGCTGGGACATTTGCTACTTGTTCAGAATAGCGAAAGACTGGTTTTGTTTTTCTGCAAATTATTATCTTTCTAGCTGCTCCATCCATGGCCCATCCTGTCCTAAATTCCTGTCATTGGTCTTATCAAGTTCGTCTTCACATTATTACTCTAAAATCTTGTACATCCACAGATGCAATGGAAAAGAGCACCTCCACACTGGTTTTCTGTTTATAACGACTGGACTTTCTTCTCCAAGTGAAAGAGCTGTAAGCTGCATTTCTCAGTGCCCAGTTCAGAAGGACACATGGAAAAGTCTTTTTATTCCAGGAAAATTCTTGTAATGCCTTTTGTCTCAGTCCAGGTGAAATTAGTGCTTAACATGTTGGAGGTCCTGTCCACAAGCAGATCTGCACCTACCCTCCAGGTGGACTGACCACCCCCAGAGGCCCATTGCCTCAGTTTGTGAAACCAAGGAAGTTATTCTGACTTTATGGCTGAACCAGCCTTCTTACAAGTTTGTGAAGCGTCACACAGCTCAGTGGCACCACATAAATCATTAATAGTACTAATACTTAGTAGACCAGCAGCCTGAGAAGTAGCACTGTGCCTGGGCCTGCACAGCTTACAAGCATTTGTGTACCTTATACTGCTATTTTAAGGCATTACATTTATTAGCAGTTTTTGGCTGAAAACAAATTTTTAGGGGGAGGAAGGAAACAGGTCTGTAAAACCAAGCGTGGCTCTGAAGCAGGCTCTGACGGGTGAGCTCTGGTACAGAGTCACATAAGCCATGGCACTTTCCCTTGCTGTTATTTAGTGCTGCTATTTTAACATTATAGATTCACTAAAAGTCTAATTTCTGTATGGGGAGGGTCCTGTGACCCAGTCCAAATGTGTGGTGATTTTACTGTTCAATCTACAATGTATATGAGCCATAAATAAGTGTGTGTGATTCTTTAATGTTGGCTGTGGATTAAGTGACAATTACTTGTTGAGTTTATAAGAAAATATGATAGAAACATGAGATTAGAAAGACAGAAGTTGTCATGTTTTATGATGAAATTAAAGAGTCTTGGTGAGCCATAGTTGTGTTTTGTAATCAGGTATATTACCCTGGGCAGTCACCTAGTTGGTTCTAAGAAGGAAAAGCTCAGTCTTTTCCATTTACTATGGAAAATGAAATGCCCTAGAGTTACTTTGCAAATTTAAGTGCATTAAACTCTAAATATTTCTATATTTTTATTATGTATGTCACACCTTGCTGCCTTGGAATTGCTGAATAGCTGAGATTTCATAGAGTCATAGAATCATAGAATGGTTTGGGTTGAAAGGGACCTTAAATATCATCTAGTTCCAATTCTCCCTGCTATGTGCAGGGAACTTTCCACTAGACCAGGTTACTCAGAGCCCTGTCCCATCTGGTCTTGAACACCTTCAGGGACGGGGAGTCCAGAACCTATCTGGGCAACCTGTTCCAGTGCCTCACCACCCTCACAGCAAAGAATTTCTTCCTAATATCTAATCTAAATCTGCCCTCCTTCATCTCGGGATGATTGTCCCCTTGTCCTATTAAATAGATTTGATTCTGTTCCACTCTATGTGTGCGTATGTGCGTGGCCTAATAGTGGCTGATCACATTCTACAAAACATGCTCTGTACTTCTCTATTCAATTAATCCTTCTTCCTCTTTTCAAACTTTAGGAAATTAACCACTTCTTCTGTTCATGGTAGTACACTCCTCTCCCCAGTTTCCCATCCCAGGTTCCTTTGCTGCTCATATCTTGTTGCTTTTATTTTCTAACAGTAAGGCAGCACAAGGGTCAAGACCCTATTCCTTTCAAAGCTGTCAAAGGATTGAAAAGTTTCTCGCTTCTGACCTTCAACCTCCCTTACTCATATTGCTTATATTTTTTTAATCAATCTAATCCTGAGCTGCAGAATGCCCAAGCTGTTTCAGTTTACCACAAATGTGCAAACTGTGTCAGGCTCTATGGTAACTATGTCTGGCTTGTATTAAAGGCTGAACTCTATTACACTCAACAGCACTTTTGTGTGCACTTTCAATTTTTTTTTTAACAGGAAGATATGATTCAAAAGGAAAGAATGATATATGGGACATAAGGAGAAAGCATTCCCAGTTGCCTATATTTTATGTTAGCAGTAACTTTCCAAGGCTCTGGGTCTGCCTTCATTTATTCAAATACTCCATCATCATTGCCATTTTTATTTCCATGGCATTTGCAGCTGTAAGTATTTCATAGCATTATTGAACATCTTCTATATTCCTCTAGCTTACATAAAGGTGGAGTTACTTAAGTGCCCTCCCAGGGACTCTGCTCCTTTGTCCATTTTCCCATTGCTAGCAACCTGCAGTTGGGTTCACCAGAGGAAACTCCACGAGGCATACAAGATTGTGTTTTACCAGTGTACCACTTCAGCTGTCAGAGCCAGATCCTCCACACAGCTTACTGGAAGAATGTCCTGCGGAGCCTTGGGTCCTCTGAGGTGGAATAAGATAGATATATGATGCTTTAAGGCAAATTGATTGCATACTGTTCACCACTCACTGGGGAAATAGGATGTCATAACTGCCAATGGGTCAATTGCTTCATTACCTGACAATAAGTGAAAGAATACAATTATTTTACTTGATCAAAATAAGGATTATGCCACATAGAAAAAAAGATAAGCATGAGAGAAGTGAATATAGTTCTAGACTACAATTAATAGCAAAGACCTACTATAACTACTTCAGCATCCTTACTAAGCCGTGGAGCAGCTTGGCCTTCCTTAGCACATCCCAAATAGTTTAATTCCTTATCCCAAGGACAGTCCTGTTCTTTAGGGAGGAAAAGAAATATGCATGTGCTGATCACCTATTCCCTTTTGCCACAGGGCGAATTCATCGAGCTTACTCTCACAGCAGTGTCACAATGTAGGGAAGTTTCCATGCCTCAATCCTCCTCAAGTTTTCTTTACGGCCATTTCCTGTAGGCAGATCCAATGGGCCCATCTTTCCTGGCATTCCTATCTTACTGTGTTATAGTTTTTATGAAGACAAAGTGGGATACCAGGTTTTTTATACTCATGATTTTAGAATCATTCCACCTCCTTGAAGAATGCCTTCCAATGCAGGTATGAAGCTAGATTGAGTATGTAATGTTTGGTAAAAAAATATATGTAAATATTTTGGGGACAGTCATAAATTTATATATTGTTTTGCCATGGATTATTGCTTGTGGTAGCACAGCCCTGGGGGTTGGAGTGGGGAAGTTTTCCTCTTGATTGTCCCAGGGTCAGTTAGGAGTGAAACCAATGAAATCATTGGTGGTATTGGGCACAAGTCAAAGGGGAGAAAGGTCACAATATCATGCTAAATATCTTATACAACAATGCATTTCAAATGCTAGCAATTTTTCTCCGACTTCTGGAAAAACTTCTGGAAAATAATCATAAATGCTATGAATGCTGTTTTCCTTTATCAACCTGAGAAACCTGGCAGGAAAGGTAGCATCTGGGGGAAATGCCACATGTGCTTTTAGCTGAAGGAAAGGCTGGATACACGGGGATAAAATGGCAGACAAGGTAAGAAGATTGGGAGCTTCTTTCCTCATAGAGGCATATGCCTATGCCACAGCTCATTGCCTACAGCAGGCTCATGCATGAGTAAAAGGCAAGTTTTTCTTACTTAAGCGGCATTGTCCAACTTCACTGTTGCAGTGGGATACGCCATGTGTGTCATGGAGAACATACGTACTGAACCATATGTACCGTCAAATGACTGAACGTGATACAGCTCATGCTCAACAGGCTTGACACATGTTGGCCTTTCTGTGTGTGCACCGTGTCCGTGAACATCAGTACGCTGCTGTCTGCCCATATGCCAGAGGTCTTTAGAAAAGAGGGAAGCTGCAAAAGGGCTTTCACCACCATGACAAGTCACAGAGTCCCTGCCAGACTGATGTCTTCCCCAAGGGTCTCTCATACACAGAGCAGGCTACCAGACAGATAAATGGTGGTTACATTTCACTCCTCATCACTATCTTTCCTAGGGGATCCCACAGTGCTCTTTGTTTCTGTGACTGGTGAGAATCTGCAGCTCAGATGGATGGGACCCTGAGTTACACGCTGATATAAAGAGCTCTGAAGTCCCAGCTCACCTCATGACTTCAAGTTAAAGCTTACCCGAGAACAGACAAGAAGAACAGAGGTTTCACAGCATGACCAAGGCCCAGAGGGACTATTAGGATCCCACCATTTGTCTTTCAGGATAATGAGGATTCCCACACTAATTCTGGTACTGCTGCAGGCATTCTTGCAGAAAGCACGAACATATAAAGTCATACCAAGAGCATCTTTCCTCCTGCTTTCTTTTTTGTCTTTTTAAATTTGAAAACAAATCTGTGGGATTTAACTGCATAATTCTATCACCACAAGAACACCACTACAAAAATACATGATTTTTGTTGTTCTCTTGCTATTTTTATTAATATGAATTAAAGCAGAGAAGATATGGCCTTGTACATATGGATTCATGTGCTCCTTAGTAGTTCATGGCCACGGCAGTCATGTTCATTTTCACTGAAAACTGAAGATAAAACCTAAAGTCTCACAAAATTATTAGTTTTCCTAAATTAAATGGCTGCAGCTGCTATGCAGTGTAGAGTAGCAACCAAGGCAAGCACGAATTTAAATTAGTCATCCATCTGTATTAGTTATTAGTAGGAGAAAAACTGATGGTGTGTTTGAGGAAGACCCATTGATAATCCCGTTTTTCAAAATATCTTTTAGAATGCACTTGTGTAGTTGCACTTATTGTGTAGTTGGGTCCAGCTCTCCTCCCTGCCTCAAGCAGACAATAGTTTTGTTCCTTCCTTTAGAGGCTCCAGGGCTCTTTCTTTGAAGTGCTTTGGCATTATTTGTTTCAAGGTCGAACTCATTTAGAAAACAGTCCCTATACTGATGACAGTACAGATATATCCAGCACTGGAATGCATAGCCCTTCTGCTGCAGAGAACTCCTGGAGTCAGCTGCCAAGAAAGGACAGAAAACAACATCTTGGCTTCATTAGCTGTCTGACTTACCAGCCTGAAGTTATCCTACTGATTTTAACAGACTAGCCAGAGCAAAGGGATGAAAGTTAGACAAATGTATGTTTGATCCCAACTCAGGCTTTTGCAAACCAAATAAATGCTAATTTAATGTCCCAGTGCAGAAATACAGCTATTTTTCAAACACTATATGCTTTCAAACAGTAAGAGAAAACTATTAATCACTGGAAAACATATAGGCCAGCAGAAGAATGTGATGTATTTCAGACATATAACCCTTCAGATTAAGCTTTGATCTTACAAATTTCACGAAATGAAGTAACGTGCTCCATTCCCTTTGGCTCCTTGACTCACAATGATGTACATAATGTAGCCATTTTTTAGCTGGACTCAAAAAATAATTAAAAAAAAAAATCTAAGAACCAGATTCCACCCTCAAACATCTACACCACTAACTGTGGGCTCAGTTGCCATTCACTTTGCTCAAAATACAGTCAATTAACTTTAGACTAAATTAGACTACAGCCCTGAAATGAAGCATGCATGACTGAACAGCAGCAATTGAAGAGAAATTGAGTGAAGTCAGCAGGGTCTCCGATGAATACAGGAACCCATCTGTATATACCCAGTTGTAGGATAGCCAGTTTTTCCTGTAGCCAGAGAGGCAGAAAATTAACACTTTTAGACAGGAAAAAGAAGCAGAATAGGAATGTGAGCAGAGGCATCTGCCAGAAACATTTCAGTCTTGTGACTCAATTTAAAATAGGGAGTGAAAAATACCTTTGCTACTGGGTACCATACAGTGACATTTCAAAACCTGTTTAGTATACCCAGTCAGATAAAACTAGTGCTAAGAGCCTCTGCCATCAACACAGAACTCACTGAGACTGCTTCTCTCCTGCATTTCAGACGAAGGATGCAAAGGCAAGGACAGCATTCTCTCCAGTATAAGCAAGTGTTGAGCAACACCAACTTTCTCCAGCCCCCCCACAAGCCAGTAGAGCTACCTGGCCTGATCCCATTTACCTGCTCTTCCTCACCACACTTCCTAGTGAAGCATGGGCAGCTTGGATTTTTCAATGTACAGTGTCATCTGATGCTCTGAGGCTTTGAACTGCTGCTTTACTGTGACACAAGCACTTCTACCCAACAGTCCAAGTTGCTGGTTGCTGACGGCATGGAACCATCTGTTCTTCTATTTGTTTCAAATTTTATTAAAAGGTTACGATCCTTGGTAATGAATGAGAGGGACAAGAACGGAAACAAATGGAAACAAAACTTACATAACCACTGCAGAGGGACTTTTTAAAGGTTCCAGCCTGGAAAAGAATAAGAAAGTACCCAGGATTCTTTTCGTATCCAAAATACACTCAGCACAATTAAGGCTTAATTTGCAGTTACATCTCTGCAAATGGAGTTCAGAGCTGCAAGCAATGACAGTTATATACACATAACTCCTAAATCTTTAACAGAAAGGTATTAGATGCAAACCAGGCAGAGACTGGAAAACCCCTAAATGCACACTTTATGCTGAAATGGGTCTAGTCTCTCGTTCAGGAGGACAGACCAGTGCACTTGATTTCCCTTCACTGTATCACTGAACTTACACCATTCATTTGAATGCTGGTCCACTTTAAAAGCTGCTTTAACACCTGGCTGTGAGCATTGGCAGCTCTTGCAACCACCTCTTCCCCTTTGCATTGCTGGAACAGTGCAGAGAAATGTAGTGTAAATGAGAGCTAATGGGTATGACCATACCTTACTTTCTAGTCTCTGCAGTTTCGTTTGACAGCTGTAATTTTGACTGTGATTCTGCAGTTTCATTTGACAGCTACACAAATCCCATACTAGAATTCAGACGCCGCACTACAAAGCAAAGAAATGCAGGTATTTCTCAAAAGACTTCTGGACTACAGGTTGGCTTTCTATAGCTGATTGTTCAAAGCAATAGCAAACTGACACAGCATAAATGTGAAATGAAATCTTGACATGAAATAAATACATGAAATAAAATCTTGACTTTTCAGTGTTTCGTGGTCAATAATATTGAGAAACTAACAGGGTCTTTGAAATTGAACATAAGAACATCTATTTTTGCATGTCTTCATGTCATCACTGTGCAAAGGCAGAAATAACATTTCCAGCAATCCACAGCCTGTCATAGGTTAGTTGCTTCAGCAAGCACCACTACAGACGTGGAGCTATACTGGGTAGTGCTCCCAGGCTCAGCTCCCTTTGCCTTAAGCAATTAAGTGGGTGAGCTGGAATAGACAATTAACCACCTTATATGCCTTTTGCACTTAGGGAAAAGGGGAAGGTATGTCTCCAAGGTGTTTCAAGGTCTTAGATGGACCAAGTTACTATCTGTAGGCTTTCATACTCCAATGACTGCAAGGATCAGAAATTAACTGGGGTCCTAAATCTTTGCTCAGACCAAAGGTACCAAATTTCATTGAATAAATCCAGGCATTGAAGACTGCAGTATGTGCATGTGTATGTGAATATACTGCTCAGAAATGGCTCAGTAGCTGGAACCTCTTCACTGAAGCTGTTTAGACAAGGAAAGCTTATCACATTTCAAAACAGACTTGCAGAAGGCTTAACAGGAGTAAAGTAGGTAATATATATCTAAATGGTGTAAAGAAGAGAAAACATGTTTGTGATTTGAACCAAGTGCTGATGAACATCATTACTCTAACTACCAGGAAAATTAGTTTAATCAAACAACTTTTCCATAGACATAATCATAAAGCTTTTATTTAGCAAATGTACTGGAAGAATTGTTTTTCTGTAAAGACATACAGGTATGTCCCAATTCCATAGAGCTTCCATTCTCTCAAATAGCTATGAATTTTTGAAATCAGTTTAATGAACAGAAGGGGATATATGTGGAGATGTCAAACTTATTTTTGTCATAAACTGCATGATTCCATTTACTACTAATCCCCAAATAATTGACCTGGACCCACCAAGAGCTTGCAGAACCCTTGCTGGTGTTTTATAGAGAACAGGCTGTACACAAAATTTTAACTGTCCTCTTTCTAGCCATGTGAACAGAAAAAAGACATTAAATACTTCCCCTTACTGACAGTTGCTGAGGTTACCACAGGATTGCTTTGGTTCTTTGTTTGTATTTTTACAATTGCATATGGAAGGGCAGTGATCTAGGACATTATTTCCCTACTAAGACATGCTTCAAACTATAGAAAACTTTTGTGAAACCCTACCTTGTAAAATGGAGAACAGATCCTACAGCATTCAGCTTTCTACAGTCTACACTTGGCTAAAACATAAAGGGTTTTTTTCCTGAGAATTGTGTTCCTTTCTACTTTGAGTTAACCCCGTATTTACCTTCTGCTACTGCTTGCTAGGTGTTGTGCCTCTCACTTGGCAAGTACTGACATGATTGTCATTTCCCACTGTGCCAGATTGTAAAGCATGGAAGAAATAACATGATATAAGGGTCTGCAATAATTATACAGGAGTGAATAATTATACCATATTGAACCATTGTTTGGTTTGGCAGAGAGAAATGAAGTCTAATGCTAAGATCCAACTTGTACACTTATGTTTGAATGTCTTAAGAGAATGTCCAGAGACACCCCTAGCAGCCTGAAATGAAAACTCACTACATGCAAACCAAATTCCATATAAAAAAGAAAGTCCTTAGAAACAAATCTATTAAGAGGGCTCTTCTCACCAAAAAATTAATTACGACTTACATTACTGAACTCTGATGAACAAAGCACAACATTCCCTCAGAAGTGAGGCCCAACTGAAAACCCAAAGGAGGAGTACTTATTAAGTACTTAGTTTTCTGAGATATTCATTGCTTGCCCTATTCTTTCATCCCTTCTGCTCTGAAAGCAATCTTTGCCCAGCTGTTTTTGGAATGTTTCAGAAAAAAAAAAGAAGATAAACTTTGGCCCTATTAGGGTTAATGCTTTTGCATAGACATATATGACCATAAACTGGTCAACTAGTAGAGGTCTTCTGCTAACATTGTGACTGAGAACAGGAAGAATACAGCCACAATAATATACAGCTGTCTACTAAAAGTATTGCATACAGACATCTTTGGCCATGCAGTCTCTTGGCCTTCTGAAAATATGTGAGCTGCATTGCTAACATGACAAAAAAAATAGCAATGTTGAGAATTAGAAATAGGCGGGTATAAGAAGCTGATATTGATGGAGCACTACTTCGAGCAGTCGTCACCATCTGTGCCAGCCCTGATCGGCCTTTGATTGACAACCCAGTTTTGTGCTTCACATAAGTGATATCTGCAAAATCCAGAAGATCTTTCATTTCCTCGTCTTCATCTACAGGCAACTCTTTTTGTGCTTGAGTCTGTGCCTTTTGTCGCACTTTTCTTTCATTTACCTCAATTTGTGCAAAAATGTCAGGAACAGCATCAACGAATTTGTAGCCTTTGGCTACCTTCCTGTTTTTCTTTGCTTTGCCACGCTGCTGCTGCTGCTGCCTCTGTGAGATTGCAAATATCCTGTCAATGGCCTCCTCTGTCTGTCTCTTATCTGAAAACCTCAGCAGGCGCTCAGCAGTCTTCCTAAAGCTAGCCGTGTTGCGCACACGAGACAGGATCTGCTTCTCAAGCTGCTGGAAAACAGGCTTAAAATGTTGCAGGTTCCTCTCCACGATCCCCATGTAGTCCTTCACTTCTGGCACTGCGGAGCTCCTAATGGCAGAGGCTCGGTCAAAGACAATTTTCTGGCGGTCTGCAATAACCTGTGCAAAGGCAGAGCGGGACCCATCGTCGGCAGGCCATAGGTACACCGCATAGGCATGCTCACCAGTGGTAACAAAAACATCCAGCTGTGGAGAATCCCCACGGACGGTGAAGCTCTGCACGTCCACAGAGGGCCCAATGAAAAGGTAAATGGCCCTCGTGACCGGGTGCCGCAAGAGGGTCGTTACATTCACATAGTTTGTTCCATTGTAGGGGTAGCCCCGGGGATACATCCTTGAGGCAATGGTGGCTTTCTCACTGTGGCCAGTGTCATCCATCCAGTACATCTTATATATCCCATCACGGTGCCTAATAAAGGCCCCGTGGACATCATCAACAACCGTTTCTTCAAAAGGCACATCCACGTTGTGAAAGAAACTGGTCGCTGCCTCCAGAGGGCTGTCATCTTCTAGGTGGATTTGGTCCACTAGCAAGAGGAGCTGGGGATGGAGAAGTATGAGGTTTCGTTGCAATTTTCTCAGCTTCAATTTCGGATTGTATGCACCCACTCCTTCTCCCCTGATAAAAACCACCCCACTTCTCTCCATGGCAGCAACCACTCGTCCCTGACAGTCGCCAGCCAAGTCATGTTTATATTTAAGCCACTTTGAGGAACAGTCTTCTGTAATCTGCCCTTCCCATGGGGAGAAGCAGCTCTTAGACACAGCAGGGGAAAACATCAACACATTATTAAAGAAAGTATATTTTGGCCCATACAGAGCTTCAGTTATGAAAGGTACACCATTGGGAGCGAAAGTAAAGGAGTTCTGGTCCGGGTGCTCATGGCCAGCGTTAAAGTTCCTCCACCCCTTGATCCACTCTTTGTACTTGTTCTTATGAACAATATCATATATTGCACGTCCTCCCAGCTTTCCTGACTTGAAGGAAAGGAAAGGCCTGTTGATTTCAGCCGGCAAAGCACTTCCATAGGTTACTACTCCCCAGTCCTCAAAATAATGCAGCTTAGGAACCCCATAGTCTGGTGGAGGTACGGAGCGCAAACTTGCATCATACCTGCCAAAAAGATGAGAAAAATGGGTTTAAAAACCACTTGACCATTAGCAGAACCTGTACAAAACTCAAAAAATGATTCAATAGTTACATCAAGGAGCAAGCCAACAATATAAAGCCCTCATTACGCTTCCTAATCATATAGTTGTAATGATATTTATCATACTAATCCCTGCACAAATTTGTTGTGTACACTTTTTACAGAATAACAGCTGAAAGCATCTGGTCTGCATTTAAAGCAAGCAGTTTCTCTGCAGTTCAAAAATGAGTACCACTAATTTCAAACTAGCCATGTTTTGTCTTATATATTCATAAAACTACTGACTGCAATACAGATCTTTTAAAAAGGCAAATTAG